GGGAAAAGGGGGGGGGGGGGTAATACAAAGGTAAAAAGTGGAAATAAAAAGGTAAAAAGGGGGCAATGGAAAAATAAAAAGTGGCCATGTAAGGGTAAGAAGTGGCAATAGAAAGGTAAAAAGGGGGCAATGGAAAGCTAAAAAACTGGCAATAAAAAGGCAAAAAGTGGCAGTGTAGAGGTAAAAAGTTGCAATAGAAAGGTAAAAAGGGGGCAAAAGAAAGGTAAAAAGTGGCAGTGTTAAGGTAAAAAGTGGCAATGAAGAGGGAAAAACGTGCAATAAAAAAGCAAAAAGTGGCATTGTGAAGGTAAAATGTGGCAATAGAAAGGGAAAATTGGGGACAATGGAAAGGTAAAAAAATGGCAGTGTAAAGGTAAAAAGTGGCAAAAGAAAGGTAAAACTATTATGACATTGTGGGAGTACAGGTGTATATACTGTGTCTTATTATTATCCTAGTCTCCCTCAGAACTTTGTTTTCAGCGGGCTGTCCAGCTCACACAGGTGTTTGGTGTTTGGCTGATTAGACTTCTAACTAAAGCCAACTTTTCTGTTGCTTGATGAAGCCGCTCCTGCACATCTCACCAGCAGGCTCCCATCCAACTTTCCCACAAGTTTCCAGCCAAATGTAGTGCAAAATTTTAACTGGGTTTCCAGAAAACTGACCACAAAAAAGTGTGCATTTTCCATCCATTACTGTTATGCAAATATTAGGAGCTGGTTCCCTGAGATAAGCAGCTGGTGGAAGAAAACTTGATGATTAGTCTCCTGATCGTGCCACACAGATCTGTTTCAGTGGACACGTCATGATTTATTTACTAAATCCGTTTCTGCTGCACTTTGTTGCCCTTATTAATCAGTTTCTTTACCACCTCAGCCAAGTGGAAAAACATTTGTGATATTAACATTTTTTCAGTCTTTTGTCTTTTAAATTTAAATGTGAAAATCCACAACAAGTTTTTAGAAGAGTATAAACCACTCATGTTCAGACAAAAGGAGTGAAAGTTTTCTTGAAAGGCTTGATTTTTAAGTCTTGTAAATTTCCTAATTTATGGAAAGAAAACCAAGGAGCTCAATTTGGTCTGTATTACATGACTGATACATGAATCTTTATAACTGGCAATATAAAGATAAAAAAGTGGCAATAAAAAGGTGATAACCCACCCACCCAGCAATACAGATTCAAAAAATAGGTAAAAGAAAAGTAAGAATGGTAAAAGAGAGGCAAAAGAGTGGCAAAAGAAAGGTAAAAGTGGCAATGTAAAGATCACCAAAATGGCAATAAAGTGGTAAAAAAGGCAAAAGAAAAAATGGCAACAGGAAGGTAAAAAAAATGCAATATAAAGTACAAATCTGGCAATATTATACACGATTGATACATGAACTTTATCTAAGACAAACCCTTCAGTAATGGTCACTTAGCACCCAGGATTTAATGGAAAATAATCCAAAAGAAAGAAGAAGACAAAAGAAATGAGCAGATTATTGCTTTAAAATTAATGCTGTTCCCCAGCGTCTGCAGCTGAGTGTGAAGTTACTGTAAACCTCTGTGAGACGCTGATGATGCGACGCTCAGGAGATGCTCTGTTCTCGCAGCAAACACCCTGACGGCAGAGACTCATGTTCTGCTGCAGCTTAAAGAGATAACGCTGAAATAACCCATCGCTGCACTCATGAGCCGGGCTGAGAGGAGGACGAGGAGGGAAAGACAAAGACGGAGGAGGGATGGAAACTGGGGAGGGAAGAAGGGAGGGAAAGACATGATGGAGGGCTTGAAGGGCTGAAGGAGACAGACAGAATAAGAGTTGAACTGCAGGGAGAATGAAAGAGGTAGAGAGACAGACAGAGACAGAAAAGAAGAGGATCAGGGAGAGAAAGCCTGGCAGCGATTTGGGTCTGTATATATGTTTCGCTCTCTAACTCCACATGTCAAATGGGTTGGACCTGCTCTTCCCTCCCAGGGCCTCGAGTTTGCCTTTCTTTCCGCCCCTCAATTTCCAGCAGAGCGAAGTGTGTTTTTCCACTTCGCATTAGGGGATGATTCACTGGGTCTGCTGCGGTCTACCCTCAGCAGGATTAGAGCTGGAAGGCTTCTTATTATCCTCTACCGTTTGAGCTCCTTCGTCTGTTAGAAAGAGCAGTGGAGCCTAAGACAAATTACCCCCTCAGTGCCTTTTCGGATGGCACTGCTCCGGCCTGGAAATGGCCCTGGGAGAGACTGGCAACAGGGCAGGAGGGGAGGTCGCGATGGGGCATCTGTGTGAGGGGTTGTTAGGATGTAATTTATGCAGCCGAATGGGGCAAAGTGTCGGGAAGGGCACTGAGGAGGAAAGAGGACACGAGCTCTAAATGCTCGTGACAAGAGATTTATGGTAAGGAGTGATGGGAATAAGGTCACAGCGAGCACAGATCCTTCTTGTGGAGTCGACTGAAGAGTTTGGTAACTTAGAGAATAACATTCGCAGAATAATAAAACCTTACTGTCTCGCAAAAATTGAAGTTTCTTTCCCCACAGACTCAGGAGCAATATTTTCAACTTTGCCTTTATATTTTCAGCTTTTTCCTTTGTCTTACCTCCATTATTACAAACCAAAAGCCTTTAAAGTTTTTTGTTTTTCAGAAAAAGAAGACATTTAGTTCTGAATATGAGATTTTCAGGCAGTTTGCACAATCCGGGTCAAGTTTGGACAGAGGAAGAGAGACGATGCGAGAGTCAAACCTTTACTTAAAAAATTAAACTAAACATTAACCAAATTTAGCAAAACTAAGCAGGTGGAAGTCAGGGGATAGAGAGGAAAAGGAGCCAACTGAAAATAATCCTGAATTGCAGCCATAGTTATGAGCAGGAAATGCAGGAAAGTGATGTTTCATTCTTTTATTCACCAGTCAGAGTTTAGAAAACATTTGAATGAAAACTTTATACCAGCACTGTTGACTGTGCAACATTACCAATAATATTCTTATTTTGCTGTTTTGCTGAGGACCGAGAGCAAGGATGCATTTAGCTTAGCTTAGCTTAGTTTAGCTTAGCTTAACACAGACTTAAGCCTCTGTCTTCCCTGTCATCCTGTCATGACCTAACATTACGTTACCTTACATGTTGTGCAAACGTAGTATTTCACAGTAATTATGCCAGTACCAAATAACTTGTGGAGTGTTGAGAAATATTTTCTTTATGTTTCTATATTTAAAAATCTTTTGCATCAATATGTTTTGTGTTTTTATTTTGTATTATTTTACACAATTCAAATGCATTATCAATAATAATGGTTTATCACATAACCTTTTAGTTTAAGTTGTACAGATTTTAGAGATATCAAACATTTGAAGTTATGACACCACAGTAAGCAAAAATACCAATGTAAGGGCTGCCAGACCAATTCTATTGCAGAGTTCAAGCTGCCAGAAGAAAATGCTAGCATTGTATGTTTTGCAAACCACAAATATGTTACATATGCACATTTCATACATATGGTTTCTAAAGTAACATAGCATATAAGCTGACCTTGTCATCAGGAGGTGGAGGGGGTGGTGGACGATGTGACACCGATGCGAGATGCCTGTGAAGCTGCAGAACACTGTTCGAGACCAATCAACAAGAAAGAAGCTGTTGTTTTTTAGTGAATCACTGCTGTGTTTCCAGCAGCTTTTTAGCCACCAAACATGGGTGTTTGTTACAGTAGCAACCCGTCACTGTTTTTTCAGCGGGGACAGTGACAAGAAAAGCTGCGTTTCCAGGCAGGAGAGTCCCCTCAAAACTGGGTATTTTAAGGCTTACCATAAATAACCAAGTGGTTATTTGTGCCTACACAGTGTTTCATCATATCAGCTACGAACGAATCTGTGATTTGCAGAAATGTACAATGCCAACATTTTTTTCTGCTAGTTGGCTTGGTTTAATACATTTATGTTCTTAAATTCTTCCTTCAGCTTGCACATATTTCAAAGAGTAAAATTTAAAGCTGTATAAATCCATATTTGACCACTAGAGGGCAAAAAGACAACACAAACTTGCTAACAAAGTCGCTCCTCACACTTCAGGAAATGGAACCATCCAACACTAGCATTGTCTGGTGAGGTCGGGGTTAGAAACTATTTCTGATGAGAAAACTTTGATCTGATGCACGTTAGAGAAACATAAATATTTGTGGAGACTTTACGGACCTTTGAATGTTAAAATAAAGGAAGACAAATTAGAGAAAAATCCCCGGTGTGTAATTGAAGTGTTCTGCTCAGCATGCAGAGGATATGAAAGTGAAAATGTAAATCCTGGGAATATTATAGGCTCATCTTCTGTGCAATTTCACTGTTGAATGCCACCCAGCAGGTAAGCCAGAGCCACCGATTTCAGACTTATTTCTTTGTTATTTGTTTTGACAATTGAAATGGAAATTCACAGCAGTGGAAAATATTGTATGGGGTAGATTATCACTTTGATTCTCTAATCTTTTCTTTCCTTTTACCTTTCTTGTCCTTCATTGGTATCACCTTGATTGACATGAGCAATTAAGTAGAGACTCCTGTTTGTAATTGATTGATTCCCATTGGCAAATCTTGCGTTCCCTCAAATGAAAGTTGCAGTGAGAGCAATCAGATGGAACGATTTTTGCGAGGTGCTACTGAGACTCAAGGCTCAGGTACGGCAGTCAGTGTTTGTGTGTGTGTTAATCTATGCTTAGTATTATCGCTGCAAAACAAAATAAGTCAAGCAAATTAAGCACTTTGAGGAGAAACTGTAATGAAAAGTGATTCAGCTGCAATAACACTGTGGAGGACAATTCAGCATATGATTGCAAATTTAAATAGCTGCTTTATCTTTTAAAGGACTTACATTTCTGTCATGCTTCGGGGGATTGCATAATGCTCCTCGCCACCAAAAGAAGCAGTTTATTATTACTAAGTGCTCTGAAAGTGCTGCCACCCAGATGTTCAGAAGGCATAATTTCTTTCCTTGCATCAGTGTTTTGATGATTGTCTCATCTCCAAGTGGTTTAATGAGAAGAGAAGCAACATTGTTTTTACCTTTTTATTATACCAAGAATACAAAAAATATCTACATTCACACACCACTTACTGCAGCATGACTGACCACATAGATTTCAAGTAAACTTTACCCAATCAAATTATCAAAATGTACCTTCAATTCCTTCCAGTTTGTAAAATCCTTTTTTTAAATCTTTTGGTGTTTCTGTTTTGCTGATTTCTTCTATTTTTTTTCATCCAAAACGTCTTTTTTGTCCTTTATTTTACATTTGGCACTTGATGCAGATTATCAATGTCTCTGAAGTCCACAGGAATGGAGGATTCAGCCACGCTTGTGTGGTGACAGAAGCAACACATCATCTCAAACAGGACAAATCATCCGACTCTGGCTGGGCACGGTGGTGTATCCCAAAATGAAAGGCGACTCGGTCGTGTGCTCGTCCAGGTTCGGGGATGATGCGCAGGACATTCACATATTATTTAACATTTGACCGCCTGCTGGGATAAATCCAAACATTGGCTTCCCTCATATCCTCATGAATGAACTGCTTTATGTTTTTTGGAAAAAAAATAGTTACAATACAAAGCTTAAAAATTATACAAAAACAAGAATACAATAAACATATCAACCTGGAAAACCCACATGGGATTACAGCTTCGCCATCTCCTGCGCATGTCATGTGACATTTGGAGAGAACTTGTCATCACACAGACTGAAAACAAGAGCTTTTACATCATGTATGTTACAACATATACGTGATCTTTTAAAGACGTCCTCATATAGCGGCAGTTTAAGTACAGTGTTGGTTTGAAGTACCCAAATAAGTTAGCAAAAAATATAAATACAGCACATGAAACGAAGAAATAAATTAAGACCTGCCCACAGATGAAACAAAAGAAGAACACATCTCTGAATACAGGAATGACTTTTCTCTTTCATTTTCCCCCTCAGTGTTGTGGCTCGGGTCGTCTTTAAAAGCACAGAACAGTGGATCAGCATTTCAGAGTTTGTCTCCTGTGCTGCTGTGAGTCTCGTTTTCATCTCTGGCATAAATCGCGCAACACTTTGAACCAAAGGGGCTCTGCCTGTGGCTGGGTCAGGCAGGGGAGTTAACATGTGCTTTGAAGCCGTTCCTTTGCGGGCCTAGCATGGCTGCCAATCCAGCCTCAGTCTCTGGGGGCAGATTTAAAACCAGCTCACACTGCTGCTGCTGCTGCTGCTGCTGCTGCTGCGGGCATCTCAGGCCTTCAAGGCTGTGGAGAATCGAGGCTTCGGCAGGAATTCAAGTGCTAACAGTCATGGATGCAGACGTGAGCACATCCTGGCTTTATTGTGCACACGATTTGTCTGTTTGTGTCACTTCTCTGATATTTTGGTCTCTTTTTGTTGATGTAATTTTTGTCAGATTAAAAAGACAAAGGTTCTCCTGTTCTACCACATTGGAGGAGTGTTTGTCTCCAGCACGCCATACATCTCTGCCAGTTTTTTAAAGCGAGGCCCCCAGTCGTTGAGATAGTCGTACTCGTGGTCTGTATTGGATGTCCCCGACTGGAGCGAGCTGAGCGACTCGGCAACCGAGCCTTCTCCCTCGTAAGCGTAGGTCTGCAGGGAGTCGTATGGTGGGGCGCACGGGTCCATGTCAGCCTCCAGGAGCTTTGCCAGCACATATCCGTGAACGTTACTGTCCCCGCCGCCGCCCATGACGCACGCCTGAGGGACGTAACGCGACAGGCTCTCGATCTCAGGCAGCATGTCCTGTCTCATCTTGCCTAGGTGGTGGTGTGCTTCACGAGGGTTCCACATGGCGGCGATGTCAAAAGCCTCGGTGTCCTCTTCACCGCCGCCTTCGTCATCATAGCGCACGATGTTCTCGTGGACATTCTCCTCCTCGTCGCACAGGTAGGGTTTCTTACGATGGGTGCGCAGGGAGAGCATGAGCAGAATCATCACTGGGAAGAGAAAGGAAACAGTCAGCCAGACGAATTTAATGGATGTTAATTAACTGAGAAATGATACAGGCTTTTTGCAAAGTAGCACAAAATCTATACTTCTACAAATCAGAGACTTGATGGTTGCATGGGTGAGTTATGAGCCAATGGGCCCCAGGGCACAGATATGCAAAAGGCCCCACCACCTCTCCTACAAGACACAGACTTTGTGATGGTTTTGCCTCTTTGTTGTTTAGTGTCCCTTTGTAGTCATTTGATGTCTCTTTGTAGTTGTTTTGTATCTCTTTGTAGTCACATTTCGTCTCTTTGTAGTCATTTTGTGTCTCTTTGTAGTCATTTTGTGTCTCTGTAATTGTTTTGTATCTCTTTGTAGTCATTTCGTCTCATTGTAGTCATTTTGTGTCTCTGTAATTGTTTTGTATCTCTTTGTAGTCATTTCGTCTCATTGTAGTCATTTGTGTCTCTTTGTAGTCATTTTGTGTTTCTTTGTAGTCATTTTGTGTCTCTTTGTAGTCATTTTGTGTCTCTTTGTAGTCATTTTATGTCTCTTTGTAGTCATTTTGTGTCTCTGTAATTGTTTTGTATCTCTTTGTAGTCATTTCGTCTCATTGTAGTCATTTTGTATTTCTTTGTAGTCATTTTGTGTTTCTTTGTAGTCATTTTATGTCTCTTTGTAGTCATTTTATGTCTCTTTGTAGTCATTTTGTGTCTCTTTGTAGTCATTTTGTATTTCTTTGTAGTTATTTTATGTCTCTTTGTAGTCATTTTGTGTCTCTTTGTAATTGTTTTGTATCTCTTTGTAGTCATTTCGTCTCATTGTAGTCATTTTGTATTTCTTTGTAGTCATTTTGTATATCTTTGTAGTCATTTTATGTCTCTTTGTAGTCATTTTGTGTCTCTTTGTAGTTGTTTTATGTCTCTTTGTAGTCTCTTTGTAGTCATTTTGTTTCTCTTTGTAGTTGTTTTATGTCTCTTTGTAGTCATTTTGTGTTTCTTTGTAGTCATTTTATGTCTCTTTGTAGTCATTTTGTGTCTCTTTGTAATTGTTTTGTATCTCTTTGTAGTCATTTCGTCTCATTGTAGTCATTTTATGTCTCTTTGTAGTCATTTTGTGTCTCTTTGTAGTTGTTTTATGTCTCTGTAGTCATTAATTTTTTTTTTTTATAGTTGTTTTGTGTCTCTTTGTAGTTGTTTTGTATCTCTTTGTAGTCATTTTGTGTTTCTTTGTAGTCATTTTGTATTTCTTTGTGGTCATTTTATGTCTCTTTGTACTAATTTTATATATCTTTGTAGTCATTTTATGTCTCTTTGTAGTTATTTTGTGTCTCTTTGTAGTCATTTTATGTCTCTTTGTAGTTGTTTTATGTCTCTGTAGTCATTTTGTGTTTCTTTGTGGTCATGTTATGTCTCTTTGTAGTAATTTTATATATCTTTGTAGTCATTTTATGTCTCTTTGTAGTTATTTTGTGTCTCTTTGTAGTCATTTTATGTCTATATAGTCATTTTGTGTCTCTGATGTAAGTTTGTTGCTTTTTTGGTCATTTTATGCCACTTTGTAGTCATTTTGTGGCCATTTAAGGTAATTTTGTGCCTTTTTTGGTTGTTTTCTGTCTGTTGTTGTTTGGACCCTTTTTCAAGGTATTTTGTGTGTCTCTCTTTGGGATCATTCCCTCTTTACTGTTGTGAGTCTCCTCCTGGTACCTGACACTTTGTATCCCTGACGCTATGCCTGGTAGGTCTGTTCAGTAATCTATCCATGGATGGATGACACTTTGATACTATTTTGTTTACTCTGTAATGTGTTAAGTCATTTATCAAGCAAAAATTATGAAACCTTAAATGCCTTCAGCTTCTTTCATGTAATAATTTGCTTTTTTCCCCCCTCTGTTTTATATAATTTGCAAATTGAATTTCTTTGGTTTTATACTGTTGGTTGGACGCAACTAGCAATAAGAAGATTAGAAAAAGAAGAAGTTAGTTGACAAAAAAAATTCCACTGTTTGATGTTTTTTTTGTTTGCTGCCCACAAAGACGACAACTTTTGTTCCAAAGTTTTGTGTCAAATCACATCTATAAGAAGCACAATGAAGGCACATGAATCCAGACGAGATAATTCCAGCTGGAAAACAATTTCCTGGTCAGACTGTTTGTAAAACTTTTCTAGTTTAATGTGAAAGTACTGACCGAGGGCAAGCCTCGGGGTAGAGGTCGGCCTTGATTAAAATCACCGCAGCACTTTGTTTAACACCCTGACCTTTCAGATGGTGAGTGCGCTTCTTCTGCATATTCCTGATAAGCTTCTCTAGAATAAAGAAATCAGCCTTTAAGAAGAATCAGTCACACTTGTTTTAACCACATAAGAACAACTGAAATGGGGGACTGTAGCACACTTTGGTGTGTCTTGAAGCAAAACTCAGTCTTAGACTCAATAAACTCTCGTCTTTAAACTCAACATTTGAGAGTAGAAATTCTCAGCTTGAGAAAGGAGATACCACAGGGGTATTAGAAGCAGTCAGCTAAGCCATCTCCCAGTGTGACATCATCCGTGCAGGATTAAATATGGGTTTCTTTTTGCATCCTGGCAAACGTCTAACGTTCATTAGCACCAGCTGCCCTATAGCATCACACTTTCTTCTCTCCTGGAGGCTGATATGGACCCACTTTATCTCTCCCTGCAGACCTCTAAGTGTGAGCAGGAGGGCTCAGCTGGTTGAGTCACTCGGCTCCACCGAGAGGCAGCAATACATTTAGTTAAAACATCTTTGCTCACTTAAAGTATGAGCTCACTGTTTGAATAGACATAATAACTCTGATTTTATCCATTTTAGCTGAAGGATTATTAAATGATCTTTGTTAAATATATCAAATATGCAATTAAGGGACAATTATTTCTGCTTTTTAGTGTTAATTGGCTCATAATGTCAATGGTAACAGAGAACTTTAACTGTCCTCCTAATCATTGTTAAATATATGTCACTTTTTTTGTATCAAGATATTATTTAAGACATTTAGATATGGTTATTAATATGGGTTAAATATTGTTAGATTTATGTAATAGGTATGTTAAGTAGGCCTACCTACTGGATTAGCATTTGAGGGGCAAATAAAGTAAAAAAAAAACATATGACAGTTTTCTGATCAAATCAAAATGTAATTAAAAACAAAGCTCCTCTGTATTAGAGACTTTGGAGGGAATCTTTTTTATTCTATGTTTCCCAACACCATATGAGCAAAAGTGTAAAGAATGCTATTAAACAGTGTGTTTCTGCTAACCTTGGCTGCAGACGTTAACATTTCTACCTAGCTAGCTTACTAGCTGCAGTATTTGCATTAGTATTATTGTCTTTTTCTTTAAATAAGTAAAAGCTAGAAAAAAGTAAAGCCAACTGAAAACATAAAAAAAGTCAGCAGGAGATAGCTAGCTAGCTGTCATATCAGCTGGCAAAACTGACGGTCAATGGCTAGAAAATGCGAAACCTGCTTTTGTTTGTGAAATCAAGGAACTCCTAAAGTACCAATAGGTGATCATTTTTTATTTTGTGCACACAAGTTGCAAGTAGTATCTTGAGAGAACTAGTTAATTAACTTGTGGGAAGACACTATATTGTGGGAACAAGTGAATTATCTTGTGGGAACAAGTTACTATATGGTAGCCTGAGGACAAGATAATTAACTTGTTCCCACAATATAGTGTCTTCCTACACGATAATTCACTTGCTACCACAAGTTAATATATTTGTGCATACAAGATAAAACAATAAAAAAATCACCTTTCAGGACTTTATAGTTTCAGCAAGGATCCACTGTTGCAAAAAGTACTGAGGAAATTTTATTCTATATTCTCTAAAGCCAAAAGCACGGGCAAAAGTGTTCAGAATGGATTGAGCAGTGTCTGCTAATGTAAACTGCAGTCTACCTGGCTTACTACCTACAGTTCTAATGTCAGCATCTCTGTCTTGTGCTTTGTTTATTTGGTTTATTTTCTTTTATTAATTTCTGAAGATTATTTAAATGTATTTTATTTTTTTTGCATGTTTTCCATTTTCCATGTTTGTTATTTATGTGTTTAAAATCTGAAGAATATACTAAAATAACATTATATATATCAGAAAAAAAACTCTTTGCTAAGAATTTCAAGTAGTATCTCTGTCACTGTTATCATTAAATGACAGGAGGCCACCGGCTCCTCTTTGCAGCAGGTCATAACTCACCCAGCAGGACAAAGATGCAGGCCAAGATGGCGATGAGTGCCCCTCTACTGAGGCTCGCGGGCAGGCTGTACGCCTCGGCATTGCACGACATGACGTTGCCCTCGTGGTCGCAGCTGCACACGCGAATGGTCAAAGTGCTGGTGCTGGTCTGGACCGGCTGCTCGCCGTCAGAGATGAAGATGGGCAAGTAGAAGATGGTCTGATCCTGCTGCGACCAGCCTCCTCGTCGTGTCAGGATCCACGCTGTGTTGTCTGGAAAGAGACAGAGAGGTCAGGAAAAAGGTTGAGTCAGTGGAGTCCTTTGAGTTCAGCTGACTTTTACAGATAACAGGGTTCAGGCCATAGACGGCACATATCCAAGTTCACAGGAGGTAACTGTGAACGAGCAGATGAGAGTTGAGGGTGACTGTGAGAACTGAAGATTTTTTTGCAGCTGTGAAGACGAAGGTGTTATAGGCAGAGATGTAACACCAGTTAGTCATAGCTTGTTATTCTCACTTACTATGATTATTACTGTCAACATATTAGACCAGTGCTAGAAGGACTGTCTGTCTGCTGGCATGTGGTGGAGAAATAATTAATCCTGTATAATATGTTAACAAATTTAGATAATTAATTTAACTAAAAATAGTGTTTAGTCTAAAAAAACCATCCACATCAGCCTTCAGAAACCCCATGTGTATTTAAAGACCAAGAATATGATCTCACGTAAATAAAAAACTAAATTTTTCTTTTCATAACAGGAGTTAGACCCAGGCCACCTAGGTGAAATCATGTGTGACCATCGTTGCAAACAACGTTCTTTACATTGTGACCCATTAATCAAGATTGGGTGCTGTTCTTCCAGAGATAATCAGTTATTAAGTTTCAGCCACATTTGAACACAGTCTTGAGAGACAAAATGATGATTAAAGATGCATGTGTAAGATTTTAGCACCAGTTACAATGGGCAAATGTGAGTAAAATACTCACTCACTTCCTGTTAGCTTCCTGATGGTTCTTATCTGGTAAAGCAAGTCCAATACAAAGGACTTGCATTGTGTTTTCTAGAAAGTTGACAGTACTTTGAGCAGTTCACTTTAGGACAATTAACTCCCTCTTACAAACACTGACTCTACATTGTTACATTGTCAGATTCAGAGGAAGTCTGCTGTATGTAAACCAGAGAATGGTTACTCAAGTGGAACTAAAGCTTTCATAGATCTGGTGAAGGAAGATAATGGAAGGATGGGACATTGATGATCTGATCAGTGCTATGAAGCAGTGATATAATCATACAAGATGGACTTCTCTTTGTATCTACTTCTGTACAGGCCTGTAAAACACAACTATAGACAGTCAACGTGTTAAATGTTTAAAAGAACAAATAGTCTGGGCTTGTCTACCTTGGTTGTCTCTCAGGGTGAAGTTGGGATTGTTGATGGCCTCTGGAGCCAAGCTGTAGTAGAAGTGTTGTCCACCCAGCGGCTCATCTGGATCCACCGCCGTCACTGTCTGGATCAGCTGGATTACATCAAATAGATACATCAGTCAGATCCCAGTGGAGGAACAGTACTGATTCATATTTGGTTGTGATTCACAACTGTATCAAGTACAAAAGTATCAGCTAAATGTACTTAAGTATCACAAATATAAGTACTGAATGACCTTGTGGAGCTAGGTTTAATTATTTAGTATACTGCTGGGTGCTTAATCTATAATAATGCATCATATTTTTTAAAGATGTCAGTATTTTTTGTATGCAATGGTGGGAAATAACGTGTACATTTACTCATGTACTGTGCTTAGGTACAATTTTGAGGTTCTTGTACTTTATATATTTATTCCACTACATTTTAGAGGAAAATATCCTTCTTTTAACTCCACTACATTTATTTAATGACTTTACAGATTCAGATAATTAATACAAAATATAACAACATGTAAAATATGATATATTATTATAGATTAAGCTACCCAGCTATATGTATGTAGTAATTAAATCTTCCATCTTTACAAACTATAAAAATTAAATTAATTTATTTTTCAACCTAAACATTGTTTTCCCATGTTTTTGTGTCTAAGTGTCTAATAGAGACAACAGTTTTTGAAAATGATCCAATACTGAGCAAGGCCATAGCTGCCTGCAGCGGCAAAATAGGCTGCAATGTAATGTCAATGGGCAATTATGCACTGTCAATTTTATGTCCACTAGAAGTACTTGCTTTTGCCACTGACAGGATCACATTGCTGTTATTGTGTCTGACAACATTATAGAAAGGATCCATACAGAGATAGACCTTTTTGTTAAAGATTAAGATCCTTTTTGTTTAACCAGAAACAGCCCGAAAAATTGCCATCACCAAACCCACCAGACTCCATTTAAATTAAGAGTTATATTATCATTGTAAAACACACTTCATTCAAAGTCAACAGAAGAAAAGTAAAACTCACAAAAAACCATCTTGGTTCATCTTTCCACTGTTCCAACAATTACTAACTCTGGTTTGGTTGAAATAAACCCTTAATTCACACAATTAGATGTGATATAATATCTGGCTCTATACACACTAAAATTACAGTTTAATTAAATGGAGTCTGGTGGGTTTGGCAATTGTGATTTCAGGGCTGTTTCTAATTAAACAAAAGGGATCTTACACTTTAACAAAAAGGCTGACCTCTGTAGGGATCATTTGCAAAAATTGCTAAAACTTTTATATTTTTACCCAAGTACAATTTTGAATATAGGACTTTTACTTAAGTGTTTCAGCACTATGGTATTGTACTTTTCGAGTAAAAAGTTTTGTATTTTCCTCAGTAGTCTGGTGGAGTGTAAGTATAAAATGCACCTCAAATGCTGTATTGAAGTACAGTACTTGAAAAAATGTACTTAGTTTTCATTCCGACACTTATCAGCTATATCATTCTTCATGCTGTGATGCTCCATGTCAGATGTTTCGTACCTGCCCTGCTTTGGCGTTTTCACACACATAAGCCTCCAAGTAGTGCGTCAGCGAGGGAGGATTATCATTCACATCCAGGACCCTCACAGCCACTGACACGCTGGAGATCTGTGTGGGGTTATCTGCAGGAACACACAGAAGATGCACAAATTGGTCAGAAGCTGTAAGACATGTTGATGGACTCAGATAAATGACTCCTTGAGGATCCTGCTGAGCTCAGTTTGTGCCTCTCTTAATCTTCCCCTCATTTACAGCGAGCCTGCGGCACATTAGGCCTTCTCACGCTTAGATTACAATTCTATTATTCCCCATTACCAATCAGCAATTTGCATATCTTAACCAGCTGTGTAATAGGCAATAGAAAAGCAATTAGTGGGCAGTAACTACTTTCTCAGGTTTCATCACATGATCGATCAATCAATGGCGTGACTTTGGAGCTCTGGAGGTCGGAGCGGCACGCAGCCCAGAGTGTGTGTTTATACTGTATATAACTGTGTGAGTGTGTGTGTGTGAGGGTCAGAAAGCAGCACTTGAATGTGCTGAAACTTTGCTGATCTTTTACCAGAGTGAAGTGAAATCAGCGCTGTGAAAGTACAGTAAGAAGTTGTTCAATTATAATGTGAATATTGATTGAGTTGCTTTAGTTTTGTTCCAAACAAGCTTCTACAAAGAATGTGAAAAGGATGTGTGACCAAAGTTTTGACTTTATTTAATAAAAGAGTGAAGAATGTCAAATCACAACAATGTTCTTAGAGCAGTATGACTTCCTGCTCATAATACTATCATTTTTTCACATGAAAATATGAGTTTATTCTTATGCAAAAAGTCCTTAAATTATGACTTCTCCTCATCATATAACAATTTGCTTGTAAAATTAATATTTAATTTTCATAATATCTTGACTTTAATATGTTATATTTTGCATACTTAATAGATTAATAGATTTTCAAAATAATTATAATAATAATGATACATTTTATATAAAAGGCACCTTCAATACACCCAAGGTCACCTTACAGAATATAAAATATACATACACAAATACACATTTTATTCCCCTAAAATTATAAAAATTTGTTGTAAAACTTGAGCTTGAAATTTAATATGAGGACATTTTCAGAATTAATAACTTTTGTTGTAAAATTATATTTTCCACCCCCAAAATAATTACTTAAAGGGATAGTGCACCCAAAAATGAAAATTCAGCCATTATCTACTCACCCATATGCCGAGGAAGGCTCAGGTGAAGTTAGGTGTACCGAGAGGCAGTTAGAGCTACAGGCTACAATGAGGCTTGAGACAGAGTTAAAATGACGTTTTTCCAAACAACTTTTTGTGTCGGGGCTTCAGGACACTTGGATCACTACGGACGAGCAGTATGGAGATATTTTATGGTTTCAATTATGTGTTTTTGGACGTTTGAATCTGGGGCGCCATAAGCCTCCATTAGGTGGAATTGTGTTGCTACTTCCTCTCCCCTTGGATCTCCACAAGTGATGTGAGGACTCAAAAACTTCACCAAAGCCTCCCTCAGCATATGGGTGAGTAGATAATGGCTGAATATTCATTTTTGGGTGCACTATCCCTTTAATCTAACTTTTCCAAACTTGCATCTTTGTTCTCAAAATCTCAGATGTTCAATGATAGTGCGAACACACAGCTCGTCATCACAGTATCATGTGGCATAAGTACAGTTTAAAGTGCTTAACAGTGTAATGATCAATAAAGTTTGACAGAAAAAGCCTCTCAGTCAAATGAAAAGTCACAGAAAGTACAGAGAAAAGTGTAACTTAGAGGTAATGAGTAAAGTATGTGACTGACTTAATAACTCTCGCTTCATTTAATATTGATTAGTTACCAATCAATCAGCTATACTTCGTTCCGGCTAATTTTCCTCCTCCACATTGTTTCTGTCACTTTTTTTTTATCTCTCTCTCTCTCTCTCCATCCCTTCCTACCTGTGTCCTCTCTTGCCCTCTCCGTCACAATAATTAGCCACCATGCGAAAAGTTATTCAATTAGTCATTAATTCAATTAGCATCTCCTTTTAGGTGTGTCTACCAAACAAAGAGACAAACAGACAAACAAAGCAAAGGGAGGAGAGCATGAAGGTGACTTTTGGTGCTACCAGCTGTGTGCAGAACTGCAGGGCATCTCCTGCTCTATGTTACATAACTCTGCAGGAGCTGTTTTCAAAAATGACTGGTTCTGTGTTTATGCACAAATATTCACCCATCTGTTTATTCTGGGTGTTTTATCTCCATGAATTCACTTCTTATCAAGTCACTTTTGTCTGTAAGTGAAAGACATTAAAGCCAAACTAAACTTCAGTGTAAATCCTTGGATTTTTATGATTATTTGGTCAAAACTGTAGTTACTGAAAATAAGTCACATAAGTTTAGATGATGCAAAAGTATCACCTTGTGGAAATAAACGCAAACAGTAGGAGGCTACTTTTTCTGTGGAGTAGAACTCATTAACAGCACAACAGGCCTTCCAGAATGTTACAAGTTGTAAAGAGGAAGTTGTTTTTAATCTGACTTTAGATGTGTAGGCTGTAATCAACAGGCAGCAACCTCCGGGGCCAAAAAAAAAATAGGCAGAAGTGCCAAAAACTATAGTTCCTCTAATGGCCACTTGAGGTTGGCTTCAAGAGTGAGTCAATCCTCATCGACCCCCCATGGTAAAATCTTAGCTTTACAGCAGAAATAAACATGTTTGCCTAAGTCTTCTCTGTTCATGAATATTATATGGGGGTGAATTTTCCTTTAACTCACCCTTTAAATGTTATTAAGGCTAAAAGTTATGCAATTAATTAAGGATGTGGCTGCTTTGGGTGGCAGGTGTCCCTGTTTCAGTGTGGTTTAAGTCGACAAAAGTTAATTGTAACATTTTGGTAGCCTTAAAAAGTCTTGTTCATTGTTTTAAAAGACCCCCTGAGAAGTCAGATGTACAGTTTTCCCCTAAACTACATAAGTACATTATTTTTGAATGGTTTAAATCCAGTTTGTCACTAGATAAAGTTAGCAGTAGCACTGGCTTTATCAGTCAAGTTAATTGTAACATTCTGGTTGTCTAAAAAAGATACAGACCCATTTCTAGAGATGTCATGAAACACTGATGTCTATAAACAGTGTGAAATATTTTCCTAGCACTATCATGAAATGAATGACTCAATTATAGACAGAAATGACTTGATGAGGTTGAGATTGCATGAGAAGGCCTGCGTGTGTTCATGACATACTCATCTCCATGGCGAGGATGGTGATGTTGTGCCAGCCGATCTCCTCTCGGTCCAGTGACCGCACCGTCATCAGCGACCCGGAAGTGATTTCGATGTAGAAGAACTTCTCTGGGTCACTAGACTTCTCAATGGAATACCTGTCGACACAGAATGACACGTGTGTTAAGCATCAGTGTTGAATAAAGTGCTGTGTGTGTTTTTGGGAGCTTGTAATCCTGTCTGAGGGGGATGCACACACACACAATCCAGCATGTGCACCACCACGTGTGTATCTGTGCGATAAGGCGTCAGGCTGGCAGCTTCTGAAGGCACAAGAAGAAGAAGAAGAAGAAGAAGAAGAAGAAGAAGAAGAAGAATAGACTCCAGATAAGGCTTAATCAGAGTATCTGCCTCCCCTGCCAAACTGACGCTGAGGATACACAGACCTGCAGCCCTGGCTCATCTCCTGCCACCGCCGGCGCATTTCCAAAACACTCTTCTGAGAGCACAGACACACACACCACACAAACACAGAAGAGCACATCCTCTTCCAGGCTGTGGAGCAGAAGCCTGTTTATGTAACCATGAGGTGTCCTCTGTGTTCACGCATGGACTGAATACACCTGCCTCACTCTGCTGTCACCTGGAGGAGATGAAGGTGTCTCTCTGCATCAGAACAAATGATGATTAGTGAATTAATTGATTTACGGGGTTGTATGAAATACTTATCCACAGACAGTATATTACATACAATAGATTTTAGTCATCATGTCCCCAGTTTGGAGAAGCAGGCTGGAGTCTGACACGGAGGAGAACAATGTACTGCTGTGGATTGGTCAGCAATAAAGTGTATATTAGTCACCTGAAAAAAAAGTTCCTCCTACAAAATAAGTATCTATTTAAGCGTACTTACTGCTGCCCTAAACAGTTTTTTGTTTGTGTTATTGTGTGACTTTGGCGTTTAGTTCGGATACACCAAAGTCCCACAACAACACAAACTAACTTACTGATCGAGGCAGTGGTAGACCAGCAGCTCCTGTGCTCAGCGAGCTAAAATTACCGTTGTTGTCAGTGGAGTCTGGTGGCTTTGCTGAGAGCATAGATGGGTAGGTGAAGCCATTAATAGCTTTCACGTCCAAACTGGCTGTCTGACGGATATAAAAAGCACCAAAAGTACTCTTAATATAGCGTACAATTACAGTGTATAATTGTATTGTGTATAATAACATAATTTATATTATAAATATATTTATATATTTTATTGACTGAGAGCTCAAGAGGACTTTCTAGTTTGTTCGCTCTCTGTTCGTCTCCAACCTCAGGCCATGTAATCTCCTCTCATACTCCCCACACCTGCAATCCCCAGACCATCCACTAGATGCCCTCAGAGCCACCTGAATGAACTCCCGCTGACCTACACACCTGTTCCTATTTTCCCACATTGGGGATAGAGTTTATAGTGGCCTGTTCTCTGCACTGCTCCTTGTTTGTCAAAGTCGCCATGAGCCTCATGCCTTTGCTTTCTAGCATCTGTAATCTGTCTGTTGCTACAATGAGTAACCAACAGGTGCTTGCTGGTTGTGGGTAACATGCTAAATGCTAATATTGATTCTCCAGTTCATTGAGGAACTTTCACCCGCAGTGAGGTGTGTGAGGCCTGTTCTGCTGTTTGTGATGGTAATCTCTGATGTGACAACAGACAGGCTGAGTGGGCTGGTTATACTGGGACAGAGAGGCCGAGTGGACTTTTGCACTGGGAGTAAGCATGCAATTAAGCTTGCTTATTCCCAGCTGGAGCAGTTTGAGGAGGACTCCAGGTGTACAGGGCTCAGAGAGTGACTTTCAGACAGGTGAGTACAACACTCAGTGTGATAGTTGAATGTTGTCTAAAATTGAATAGGTCTTTTTTTGCTTATAAAAATGCAACAGTAACTTTTACCTTGAGTACATTTTTACTGGCATTTCTTTTCAAGGACTAGTACATGGGTCTTAAACGTTCTTAAACCCACCCTTAGCTAAAAGAGAGACAGAGCAGGGACCCCCATTACACATATTGTGTAACATTAAGTTGCATATTAATCCAGGGGGATGGAGATTGCCAGACAGAAGGCCACGCCAGCCTCAGGCTGAAGCCCTGACCTCTATTTCTTTTTCAGGTTGTTAAGGGAGGAAACTCCACTTTCACAAAGTTAAGTTGTTGCAAAAGGCAGAATATGTTGGATTCATGTTAGTGTGTATATTTTAATTTTTGAAAAGAAAATAGACTTTCAATACAATATCAAACAGTCATGTGGTGCCCCGTGCAGTAACTCTTAGGACTGCCTAGGGGTCCCAGACCCTCTATTGAAGACCCAGGGTCTAGTGTGCTGGATTTAGTGGCATCTAGTTGTAAAGGTTGCAGAATAAATGGTGCTACCTAGAGCCAGTGTTTGGATTGTCCATTCCGAGCTGCTGTAGAAATTATCTGGTGGACTCATTTCAGGTGATTATAACCCACTGAAGACATAGTTATGAATGTTATAAAGCATTTCTGCCAGTAGATGAGCGTAACTCCTACACACTGGACCTTTAAGCAACCTTCTGACAAGATTTTATCAAAGGAAAGACTTCAATAAACTCAAAGGCGTTTAAATGACAAACCTCTCCATTAATTGTTCAATGGAAGACTGTAGTGGTGTGTGTGTGTGTGTGTGTGTGTGTGTGTGTGTGTGTTCATGTCTGCGTGTTCATGTCTGCAGGATTGTTTGCACTGTGTGTGTTTTGGACTGTGTGCCGACAGGGAACAGTCATGACTGGCACATCCTCTGCTCGCAAGAATCTCCCTGAAGGATCTCTATTAATATCACTCGCCACAATCATGAGGGGTGGGGGCTGCTGTGTGTGTATGAATGTGTCAAATAGCAGGTGAAAATGTGTGTGTGTGTGGGTTCAGATATATCTGCCAGTCATGCTAGTGTCTGTAAAGGACAGAAAGATGTAAAATGGAAATGAGGCAGACAGAGAGACTGAAGGTCACCTGCTGCTTGTTGTCGTTATCTGTCATCTGATGTTGTTGTTGCTGCTGCAGTATCTCAGCTCTTCACTGTCACCCTGAACTGATTCCTCAGCTATCTGCTTCTGGTGCTGTAACTCATGCTCACAAACTGGCTTTTTTTTGTTGGAAAATCTCTTTTCACTGATTCACCGCCAGAGTACAGTGCCAGCTCTGGGGATTTAGCTGCATCAGTGGCTGCTCTGATTCCCACTCTCTCTTCAGGAATGAGAGAGTTGTCGGTTAATTGTCATCAGCGGAGCTCCTCGAGCATCAAAGAGTTTAAGCAGCGGTTCCCGATGTGGAGGTCGGGACTGTCTAAGAATCTGAGGGAGTAAGAGAGAGATTTATGTGATGGAGGAGGAGTCGGGGCTGGACTCTCTGCAGGTGGTAACAGAGAAGAAGATGCTGCCCAAGTCTGACTCAAATCACGTTTGGCACCAGGTCCTTTTCTCTATTTTGTATTTCACTGTTGATAGTACCCCACCAGTGTAGGTGGGATTCTTAGCTGACATCATCTTCAACATGACACTTGCTGAAAGCTTTCATCAGCAACCAACTCAGGGAACATCTGCACCTTGGCACAGTGTATGTAGTGTATGTCATAGTTTTGCTGGCTGACAATTTTTCAAATCTGGGTCGAGTGAGTAGAAAGCTATTGATGGTAGCTTGGCTGTTTAAAATGGCAGGTTTGTGCAGGGTGTCCTGTCACACTGATGATGATTCTTTCTGACCAGTCAGTGGTGTGCAGTGTTTTAACTCCAACCTTCTAGCTCACTTGAAAGCTCAGCCAATGTGGTACCAAAATAAGTACAAGGTGCTATCCACTAGAGGTTTTCATTGGTTTACCCTGACCCTAGAACCTTGGACCAAAGATCCGACCTGGGGCCTGTTCAGGTTCTTTTCACATTTTATTACCGTCCGTTGGGTCTGGGTCAGGTCCCACTCTGTCACTGTTGGTGCGTGGTCTATTTATTACCATGTGCAATACCCAAGTGGATCTAAGACGACCCATGATCAGCGCTGATCACGAGAGAAATACATAAGTGATGTGTGTGTAGCTTGCATGATGATGAGGCTGACTGATGTGATTATAAAAGCAGAAGTAGGGTGAAAAAAACATGGAGCAGCAGCAGCAGCAAGCTGGAGGCTGGGCAGAGGAAATTAAACTGCAGCAGCTCACATCACAACAACAACAACAAAATAATTGACGAAAAAATACAATTAAATAAAGATAGACATCCTAAACATTATATACAGTATAGTACAGGAGGTGAACTCTCCTCTCCAGTTACCAGTCCACACTCCATACTTGGTCCGAATGGGGACTTGAACTACCAACCTTCCGGTTCTCAACCCAAGTCCTTATGGACTGTGCTACTGCATTTGCACACTTGTATGCATGCACATGCTTAAAGGATCTGCATGTTACATTCACAGCATTAATACAGCAACAAACCACTATTTGCTATGTAAAGATATTGTGAAGTAATGACGCCCTGAGCAGAGAATGAAATCATGATATCTGCGTGTGTTGTAATCTGAGCTTCTTTATAAATTGTTGTGGTCGACAGTCAAGTTCTGTATGCATGTTAGTGCAATGGAGTCCATGTGAGTGTATCCAACTGGCTAGCCAATTGCCGCCACTCTGCCCTGCGCTCATATAGCGGTTACCACTGATATTGGGACAGCATCATCGCAGAAGCTAAGAGCCTACCCTCCTGCTCCTGATATTAATGTTAGCTCTATCAGTACTGTTGCTGTTGTTAGCACTGTTAACTGAGTTAGCACTGTTAGATGCTAGCAGCGACCGCCTCCATGTTAAGAACTGTGTGCAAACTATTGTAACACAGACTCTGAATGTCTCATACAGCTTTTTAACTCTTATGTTAGTAGTGTGTTTGACCTTTGTTTTGCACTGTTCTTTGTACCGCGTGGTTCATTGGTGTACTGTTACTGTGACATGCAAACTCCCTCTGTTGATAAGTAAAGTGCCCATCTATCTTTAAGTGTGAAGGATGTAGTGTGAAGGATTTAGTGACATCTAGTGGGGAAGTTGCAGATTGCAACCAAGTGCAAAGTTTTCCATGTGCTAAATGTGGAGGAGAACTTCTGTGGCCAACATGACGATGTGAATGGCCTTATCTAAAGCTAGTGTGCATTTTGCCCTGCTGGGCTACTGTAGAGCAACATGGCAGACTCCATGGAAGAGGACCCACTCCAAATGTAGATATAAATGGCTCATTCTAAGGTTAAAAAAAATAAATTCTTATTGCCAGGTGTTTGTACACTGATGAAAACATGGTTTTAAATATTATATTCCATTTCTGCAAACAGATGCTCCTAAATCTACACATTGAACCTTTAAGGTGTCAGTAAGCGACAGACGACTGCATTTGCTTTCTGATAAATCATTTGCAGAGTAGTTTTTTAAAGTATTTTAAATCCAGCATTGTTGGCAGGAATGTATATTGCATTGTGTGCATGAGAAAAAGAAAACAGGGCCCCACTCATAGTGCTACTAGACATGAAAAACTCCACAGGGAAGCTTAAGTGTCCAACTTCCAAGCGTTTCGTCTTCAAAAACCCCTAAAATGGCACTAAAAAAACGAGTCCATAGCATGTGAAAGTCCCACAATGCAGTGCTGTGCTTTTAGATGTGTAAACTCACAATAATGTGACAATTTAAGTTGTCAGGAAAATTGATGAAGCATCTGAATTTTCCTGCTCACTATTGACCATTTGCTGTTTGGAGAATAGTGAATGAAGAGGGAACTTCGGACACAGCACTTATAGATAAACTGCTGACTGTCTATGCAGACAGAGTTTAACAGCAAACACACACTAAACACACACACAAGCAGCCGCCGCGTCATCTATATCCATTTCCCATGCACTACTTTTAGCCCTAATCGAGGCTGTAAAGCGGACAGCTGGGACGGGGTGCAGCCTGTGCCATGTGAAACACTCATTTACTGCCGCAGTCATTGATTCCTTCAGATGATTAATAGCCTAATTAAAGGCTTTATGTCTAATTAGTTTATGAGAGGTGCAGTCTGGACAGTAAACCCACCACGCAACATCTGTTCTGTTAGAGCACAAAACATACTCTCCAATAATTGAGAGAAGTGAAAGTCCTCGGCTTCTCGTCTCTGTGAGCTGACTAATTGCTGGATGTTGAAGCTTGTTATTAACATTATGATGTTTGTCCTCCATCAGCATCAGCTGAGCTCTCAGACACACATGTTGATAAATGGTGCCTCGGTCATGTCTGCAGTGGTAGCTGCTGAGAGAAGGCATGTTGTGATGCTGCCCCCTGCTGGTGATCAGGGAGCATTACATCTACAGAGCCAGGAAAAACTCTGACTGCCAACTCATGGTAGTAGTGTTAATAACAGCTAATTAGCCTTACTCACATATGCTTTACTGGCACTACAGCCTGTTGTCTGTGCATGATGAAGAATACAGGAAAACACTCACAGACAGACTCACTCAAATGCTGCAGTCCACTTGATTTGTATGTGTTTTCATGCATGAATTATAATATTGGCTCTTTTTTATTGGGATATTTATGAGTCATATTCTGGAATTAACTATTATTATAATGAAATCTAATGACAGCAGCTAAATAGCAGCCAAATTGTGTTATTATTATTGGCATTTTTGATTGAAGGAGTAATCAAATACATATGATCCTGTTCATGAGGTCCATATTTATTATCTCTCTCTCTCTCTCTCTCTCTCTCTCTATATATATATATATATATATATATATATTTTTTTTTTTTTTTTTTTTTTTTTTTAAATTTTCTGACAACTTACAAGTACAGCAGCTCCTGAATGCAACATTGTCAGGTAGCCATCTCTTATCTGAAAGCTCACAATCTTCAAGCTGCAACTTGAACTCATCATACATTTTTAAAACATGTTTCAAATACTTCTCCACTGCGTTTTGAAAATAACATAAAACATATTTATTGTGCTGGTTTGCCAATAGCATAGGTTTCCATTATCACATTTTTATGCTGTAGCAATGATGTCCTGTAGTAAAACAAAGAATTTTTGTGTGTTTGGGAACATTAGATTTTGTGAAGTCTGGGCAGGTCTGTATCATTTAAAGTTTTTGACTGTGTCATGCAGTATTATTGTGTGTAATAATGGGTAATATGTGAGAACATGTAGGAATAGGATATCAAGTCTGTAGTGGTCCAAAGAGGTGTCATTTTTGAAGGATTTTGCCTGCTGTGTTTTTCTCAGATTAACCTCGTTAAAGTTTTTCCCTGTCCAAAACTGAGACACCTTCCTGACCAAGTGGCCTATAGGAACTTATGTAAGTTAAAACAGCTTCCTGGAAGTTTTTACTACAGGACAGATTGAGAGATTGATTGGCTTAAATGATTTAGAGAATATACAGGGGACTTCACGATGTTAAAATAGCAAGTACCACCTACATCAAACAGAAATGGGGAAGGGAAACTAAAAGTTGCATTCCAGAGGAAATCTGGACGACGTATTGTAATGCCTGCTCAGAAATCTCTCCAGAGAGAAACTGTGTCTCCCAGCAAGCCAACCACTGCCATTTGTTTGGGCTTCTCCAAAAGTGAATCATTTTTGGCGTGAGATTTATACAGAAATTGTGACTATATTTGGGACAAAAATGACTTTTTAGAGGGACACACTTTTTTTCTGGGCTTCTACTTTTAACATCTTTAAATATTAAAACAAAATACTTATTTGGAAGACTGAGTGTTGCTGCTAAAAGAGCAATTACAGAATACAGGATGATGGTGATGTTCAATTTACAGCCTTCAGGCCAAATCTGGCCCACAGAAGGGTACTGGGTGGCCCGCTGACCATTTTCTAACACTGGGACTTTTTTTTTTTACTTTGTATGTAAATAATGCCAGAGTGACAAAAGCATCAAAATAGAGCTTGTTTATCCCCTGGCTTCCTGTGGTTTGCAGCAGTGGGCCCTGGGCAAACATGTTAAGTATCCCTGCCGTGTGTTATCGTATCCCTGTCGTGTGTTATCGTGTTTGTGTTCTAAGTAATAAAAAAAAGTAAAAAATAAAAAATTGAAAGAGAGAAAAAAGTTTTTTTGGGGCATAACATGCTAAATAAATAAAATAAAAAATAATAGTCTGGTCTTGGTAAAAAACAAAAAAAGATAAAAACAGACTTTCAATGGAGGATAGCTATGTTTTCTTAAAAGACTTTGAATACTAACAATAGTGAACACAGCTATATAATTTACAGTTTTTACTTTGCTGAAGGATGCATTAAGGTCATCCACACATTGTTTGTGCTGTGGAAGTTAGTTTCTTTGGTGTATTTAATTGGCAACTCGGACTATAACCTGTGGACTCACACAACTTGTAAATAACATCCACAGTAAATATATTCATAGTGAAGTCGGATGTGGAATTTTGTTTGACTCTATCAGCGCTATGGAATGCAGCAGGACAGTAGGTTGAAAACAAGGAGTGAAGTTCTGAAAGCCACAAGCAGCCAGGCCTGTGTTGTTTCCTCATCTTCCTCACCTCACAGTGTTGTTGGCAGCATCAGGGTCCCTCGCTGACACCGTCTTCACCACCGTCCCGATCTCGGCGTCCTCTGACAGCTCGATGTAGTACGCCGGCGAGTCAAACTGCGGGGGCTCGTCCACGTCCTCCACGCTCACGTGCACGATGGTGACGTCCTTGAAGGGCCCGCGGTGGCGGAAGGCAGGGTCCAGGTGTGTGTTGGCACCCTCCACCTTCAGAGTATAACTGGGCTTGCTCTCAAAGTTCAGTGGCTGGAGGGGGAAACACACATAAAGGTATTATACAGATGAAACCTGGCAAACTTTGGCTGCACTTTGAAACACAAGTTGATGCTCTTTGCAGTCAGAATTCTTAGTGAAAATTCCTGCTGGGTTGCTGTTAAAGAGATGAACATGATGTCTCTTTGCATTCTGGGTATATCAGAACAAAAATGTCCAGTAAAAGACCATCAGGTAACACGCCAGGACAAAGCGATGAAGGATGCCAGAGAACAGCAGCAAGGTGAAGAGTTCAAGTCAGATACTTCTTTAAAAACCTGAACTTAAAAGTGTTGATTTTAGACACCAAGAGTGAAGAATTTGTTGTAGACAGCACTTTACAAGTTATGCAATGTTTGCTCCTCTCGAGGCAAAATTTAATTGCCAGATTTCTGAAGGGAGATTTGTAACTTTCTCCTGTATGATGAACGAGCCTTCAGCTTTACCAACCCAGACTGTTTCTCCTTCTTGTATGCAGTGTATCATAAATCACAAGTTATATAAGTTAAACATGCATCTTTACGTGAAATAAATGCATGAACAAATATTATAGAATCTGTAAAAGCCTTTTGTAAAATAAAACTTTTTTCCTGCTTTTTGAGGAATGATGGAGAAAGTTAAAACCAAGCAGCACCTGTGGCTTGAAACACAAATAAAAAATAGATTTCCCGTGTACCTTTTTCACTGTGATGATGCCGAAGAAGTTGGTGGGGTCGGTGCTGATGTCAAAGGTGTCCCTCCCATCTCCATCAATGATGCTGTACCTCATCTCAGCGTTGACCCCGATGTCCCTGTCCTTTGCCCAGATACGCCCCACCACTGAGCCCACAGGAGCCGACTCTGGGATGCTCATCTGATACAACCCTGAGGAAATAAATGAAACAAAATGATCATTCTGTCATACTTTTTTTTTCATCCTCTAGAGGGAGCCAAACCTCTTCCATCACCTCTACGGCCGCTCTCTCCTCTCCGAATCACATCTCAGACAGCTTAAAATAAATGGCTCCATAAACGCCTCACAATTGGGTTATATACTGTCTCGTGGGTCGGCTTCAATTTCATCTACCGTTTAACCTCAAAGAAGAGGTGACAGCTGCCCAATTTGTGGCGCTCCCCGCAGTCCAAAGTGAAATGCCTGCACTTTGTGCTTGACAGAGGGGAATCCCTGAAGCTCTTCACAACCGATCAAAGTTCCATCGAAGTGATGGCGCTAATTGGTGGGGGACCAGTGATGGAGGTAGGCAGCGGCGGGTGTTTTCTTTGTCTCAGAGCGAAGCCACCCGTCGTCTGGGAAGAGATGACCACGGACAGCTAGACAACCCCTGACCTCAGGAGGACGGTAATGAGAGCAGCAGAAATGGGGATAATCAAAGAGACAGCATGGGGTGACTGGTGGCTGAGTGAGGGAAGGAGGGAGAAGCCAGGGGGTAAATGGCCAGAGACTGGTGGCCAGAAGTGGACAGAGGGAGAAGGGCAGAGGGGCTAACGGCTTGGATGCTCCAGAGAAATGAGGTGGATGGGTAGGGAGATATGTGGGTTTGTGTGGGCTGTTTGTCATCCACACAGAATGGTAAACTCTCATTTTGGATATCAGCGCTCACACTTGGCTTACACTATTTTTTGGTCCTGTGCATCACTGCATACATTCCACACTGCGGACACACATGCCGACTATAGCAGCTAAAACAAAGTGACAAGTCAAACCACACGTTAAGTTTCAACCCTGAGACAAAACAACAAGTTGTTTTTGAAATCCTAGTGAACTTCAGGGTTGTTTGAGGGCTTTGGCTTGAGGTTTGTGGTGCGTTTGAGTCTCATGCAGGGTTGGAGATTTAACAAAGCAGTAAGCTCATAGTGCAATGCAATATACAGTGCAGGGTTCACTGTACACTCATGATCACTTTAACGTAATACTTATGATAGTTACAGACGGCTGGTACTGTTTTCACTTTGGGAATTCATGTGTGTGTGTCATCACAATGAAATGTGGTCCACGTGACACCTATTGTAGCGGGAACTAGCACAGAAGCTGTTTTGAGTATTTTGAAAGTTGTGTCTTTCTGTTGACACATTTTGTGAACATGGCAGTGCCACAATTGTGCAAGATGCAGTCAATATCTTTACAAGTGTGTAGCTGAAATCAAAATGAAAGTCAGGTTTAAAGATGGCTGTGGTCCAAGCAGGGGGCCAGAAGTAGGGAAGGGGCCATTGGTCCTCAATTTACGCCCCTAGCCTATGTTGGTTTCAAGTCGTGATATAACGTCATGATAGCTGGAGTGGTCCCATAGCAAGATTGTCTCAAGTTTTTAAATGAAAACAAACTCTGACTGAACAAAATTCCTTATTTATGCCATACTTGGGTACAAAAAAATCATACCTCTTTTGGTGCAAAATGCAAATTAAAGAATCTCTTCCATAAACATTAAGCAGCTAGTGTACAATCAGGACTTTATCTGCATAACACAAAACATGAGTATAATATACATATAAGGATGTCTTTGTAAAGATCAAACACCTGTCTAAACACCAAATGCTTCCCCACCGACGCAAAAAAGCAAAAGCTTGAATAGCCCTATCTAGAGTCAGTGTTTGGTTTGTCTGTTCTGGGCTACTGTAGAGGCTGAGGACCTGCTCCCTGTGTAGAGACGGCTCATTCTAAGGTGGCAAAAAAACGCAATGACTCTTATTTTCAGGTGATTACATCCTAAAGGAAACATACTTATTATATTACATTTCATTTCTGCCAATATATCACCTTAAATCCTACACACTGGACCTTAAAAGGGAGAGTTCAGACCACTATATTGGAGAGAAAGCAGACATCTATAAGTCCAATATCTGCAACACTCAGAAACTCACAACAAAACAGTATAGACTGAGAAATAACACTACAGGTAAGAAGGCAAATATGTATGTTTGATTTTTGGGGTGAACTGTTCCTTTAAGTATTTTTCAAGCCAAAAATTAAAAAAAAAATCAGTGTTGTCAGACTTGTTCATTCATCATTGTCAGCTGAATATCTTTAAATTTTGGACTGCTGATCAGACAAATGTGGGCTCAACACTGCAACAGTTTTTACTATTCTTTTAATATTTTCTGACATTAAGAAGGAATTGGCAGATTAATTGGTAATGAAAATAACTTTGAGCTGCAGCCCTCATGCAAACAGTGATTTGTAACTTAGTCATAACTCATCCATGAGATCCATTTTTCAGCTCCACGATGCATTTAGTCATAATTTTGTATTTTGTATAAAATTATTCACAGAGCCACAATAGTCTCACACTCCTGCACTGTTTCTCTCCAGCTGAGAGAAAGTGTCCAGAACTTCTGATTTTTGCTTCTTCTTTTCAGCTGTAAGAGTATCAGGAGGGATTAGAAAAAGGTGATGTGGGTTCAGGTAGAGCGGCGAGCAAAGTGAATCAGCACAGAAAACAAAAACATAGAGAAAACAATAAGACAGTAGTGCAGTAAGGAGGAACAGTCTGTCTCTTACTCTGGTCAAACATGGGCGGGTTGTCATTGACGTCGCTGAGCGTGATGTTGACTGTAGTGGTACCGGCGAGCCCCCCCAGCTGGCCGCCCATGTCTTTGGCCTGGATGACCACGGTGTAGTTTTCTCTGGTCTCCCGGTCCATGTCTGCCAGGGACACGCGGACCATGCCTGAGAAGAGAGAAAGAGGGTGAGAAAGGGCAAACAAAGACACGAGGTGAATGAAAGGTCAGCTACAGAGAGCTGGTGACACAGATTAGGGTCATGTGTCCAAGGGATTGTGTCCTGGAATGTCAATGCTCTTCTCAATGGACTGGACGCGAGGCTGCATAAGTCATTTATCATTCAGCTTGTTGTGCTAGTCTGCTTTTTAAGTAATGATTTTAATCACAGGGTTTCTCATTTAAACATTCATACAAAACAATATGGTTTGAACACAACTTCATCAGTGGGCTGCAATAAAGAAAAACATCATTTTTCATTGCACTTCATAATTCTTCACCCACAAGCAGAGACAAATGGAGATTTAAGGGGTAAAATTACCTATAGTTTACTCTTAAACAAGTGTCATAGCTTCATCAGCCAATGTTACGTTATGTTTTATATCTTGAGCCCAGTTTTTTAAAGTGTAAGATTTGCTGAATTGTATGTATTTTGTCTGAGCGAAAACTAGACTACTGAATCTCCTCTTGGCTCTGTTTTCAGGCATTAGAAAATCCAGGCTGTGGCGGGACTGTGGCCAATCATAGGTCATTTCAGAGAGAAGCCATTCCCATTGGCTGTTCTACAAATGCAGATGTGCATGCATGCCCCTTCTGTGACAGCCTGATTCAATGGCAGAGTCCTGCAGAGAAAATTGCTGGCAACAACTGCCTACACTGCAAAGCAACCAAAATAGGTTGAACTTATCAAAAAGAGAGTCTAAAGGAGAGTATGACAATAAAGGAAATAAAACACGTCTATCAGCAAAGAGTTTCAAAGATGGAGAGAAAATATTGCTATAGCCTTCTGCTAACTGGAGCTTAAGACTCATAGCTGCAGCTTCAAGTTCCCCTTTATGTAGCTAACGTTAGCTAGAGCCTCGAATCGTGTGTCCTCTGCCTCACTCCTCATCACGACAGACAATCTTGTCGGGAGTAGAGCTGTCAGCAGCTCTAGAGACAGACTGCCAGTCAGCAGCTACAGCAATCCTAATCCAGCCAGCACAAATCCCAGGTCTGGGGGACAGGAGAGCCCCCCCCCCTGTCAGCAAACTTTCTGTTGCTGCTGTTACTCAGGTTAGACCTGGTGCTGCTGCTGGCCAACAGCCTGCTGTGACACCCAGCGCTGGGGGATTTGTTGGGTGGCTAGTTGGCTAATTCTTGTCTCATTTGTGGTCTCATAAATAAATAGGTAACACCTTATTGCATGAGGGGCGTGCATATGCCTGTGGCTGTTTGGTGGGAGGGGCTTCGGACAGAGAGGAGAGCTGCTGGAGGAAGGGGTATTTTCAAATTCTGCTCTTTTTTTTGCCTTTTCCAGATTTCTGCCTGCCCCAGCTTTAACATAGTTTTTCGTGTGCATAGCAAAGACTTAAGTAGGGAGAGTATGACTGTGACACTGGTGTGGCAGGAGAAAAGGAAAAATCAATATCTGACTTGGTACATGCTCGCATTCAAACAAGTAAATGTAAACTTTTACAAACAAACTGAAGGATGGCAGCTTATAGAAGAAGAAGAATAGCTTAGTTTGAACGGTTGGACGGTAGATGATTTGTAAGGGGCTGCAAGAGAAAACTGTGGCCTGTACACTATTATCAGCACTGTATTATTACCAAACACATCTACAGCTTTGCCAGATGCAGCAGAACACAACCAAGGCCAAGTGATGTTTTGTGCTGAGGAGTAAGAAAAGGAGTGCATGTGTGGGTTTAACCTATAAGTGTTGAAAGTTTTAGATTGTGGTCACACCAATAAAAGCCTCCGTGTGGTGCTTATAGCCCAGTCAGGGAGGCTGATTGATAGCTGTAAAGTCACTTGTGTTTCAGTGATGGATGAACCTACAGCAGCAGCAGTGTGACCGGCTGCTGATGGGCACCGCAGCCTGAGAGGTTTGGCAACAGATTTCTGTGCTGACAAACAAGGAAACGAAGCAGCTGTGGTAAAAAAATGGGCAGTGACTCTTTGCTTTTAGGGATGTAATGGATTTTTGGAACTGCTAGCTTGAGTTATGAATGCTGTTACCAGTTAGATATTAAAGCTTTAGGATTTTAAGCTCCACATTTAGTTTTTTACACATAATTTTTATTGCTACCATCTTATGTGATTCTTTGATATGTTACACAACATGGCCAAAGGTCAGTGGACACCTGAACAAAAGTATGTGGACACCTATGCATTACATTGTGAATTTCCTCATTTAAAAATCACATACATTAATCTGTTGCTATAACAGCCTGCATCTGGTTTCAGTCTCTTCACCACATGCTGATCCTTGCTGCAGGGATTTCATCCCATTCAGATCATAGACTGTATATCAAGATGGACGATATGACAGCTCCCCAAAAGTGAAGCTGAAACATCTGGATTGCCCCCTGGTGGCCCTCTCCGTGTTAGTGGATGTGACCTCCAATATATTTTTCCCAAAGCTTGTTTCAGTCATTTAAGGTAGTTTTTTCACTCTGCTGTTTGTTCGCATTTTGTTTTTCTGATTAGTTTGGTTTTAAATTAGTTATTTAATTCTATAAAACAGGGATTTTTCAACATGATAAACAACTGTGTGAGCCAATCGGTGGGCTAGCATTTAGCGGCGCTGCTCGCAATTGGTCAGACGGATGTATGGTATGGTATGGTAGTCAGGATGCAGTTAGCTCAGCTTAGCATAAAGACTGGAGGCAGGGGGAAGCAGCTAGCTTGGGTTTTGTCAGTATATTTAAGTTTTTTTGTGTGTGTGGATTTTAAGCTAAGATTAAGAGCTTAAGAGCATCTGGTAGATGTATTTTTTAAACTTTGGACAGAGCCAAGCTAGCTGTTTCCCCCTGCTTCCAGTCTTTATGTTAAACTAAGCTAATTGCCTCCAACTGCTAGCTCAGCACCTGATGCAGAGACATGAGAGTGGTATAAATCTCCTCGTCTAACTCTCAACAAGACAAGAAAATTTGGTTAAAGATCTGTTCAAATGAAGGAAATCACAGTAGCATTGTTTTCTAAATGACTGGCAGCAATGTCAAGTATATTTGGTTTGTTGTAAACAGACTAAAACATGCAAAACCACTAGCTGCAATATTCCTTCAACACAACTGACATTGTTCTGATTAGAGTTTCCAGCTGTTTACCTGGATGCTAAGTAAAGTTATCTGATAAGATGTGTGTACATGCCCCAAAGCATTGAATGAATGAATGAATGAAGTATACTCCAGATATTAGTGTTGAAAGGTGGAGCAAGAATCTGTAGCAATAACTGTACAAAATCATTCAAAAAGGGCAGTTACACTAAATAATGAAAATATAACCAGATGGTGTTGGGGGAGGAAGACAAAGCGAAAATGGAAAGATATTAGTTAAGAGGCACCACATTATTTACATGATATTATTGTATGTGTATTATTGGCATGATACATTAACATAAACATTTTATTTTTAAATATCACAGTTATCATCAATAGCGGTATATTGCTACACCCCCAATCAAAATATAGCTTTTTGGACTTGCGCTTATTGACAAAATTCAATTCATTCAATACATAAAGGATAAAAGAAGTGTTTGGACTGTTAATACAATTCAGAGGAAAGTAACCTAAGAGTAACCCAGAGTGTTGCAGGGACGATGTGGAAATTAGTCACCAGTGGATTTTGGATGACTGTATCATAATACACACATTTACAGAGTGTAAAATATTTTTGAATTTATGGATGATTCTCTATTAAAATTGGCGTGGAGTGGGGCACTTAGGAACAGCTGTTGTGGCATGTCATGTACAGCACACCCAACAGCTTCATCACCTAATTTAACCCCCCATGTGGGATACCATGCATTTACATTGTTATAAGTAGGGATGTAGGATAATACCTGCACATCATCGGTATTGGTTGATATTGGCTTTAAAATGAACTATTAGAATCGGCTAACATTCTTATTTTGCACAATGAATGATTATATATATTGAAAAGCACTGTATTTTACATCTCCATCTGTTGGTGGGCCATCATGATAAGAGTATCCATGCATATTATGATGTTAATTCCACTACAGTGGATACTTGATGATCACTAAAATTAGGTAGAGAAAAAGGTGGATATATCAAAATCTGTATTGATTATCAGTCAAATGAGCTGTTACATATCGGCATATTGGATATCTGCAAAAAAAATCCAATATTGTGCATCCCTAGTTATAAGGTGCTAATATTTTCCTATTGAACGAATTATCGAGGATTTACACTACCACTCCCGATTCCTTTCGATCAGGGCAGATCGAGTCAGTCTCTTCTGATTGAGGTGGTTACATGAGGTATTTTTGTTTTTGATTAAGCAATTCTTTAGATTGTACGTAAGTGGAATATTAGGCTCCTTGTAAACACACCTATTGTCATGAGTCATTTGAATGACAAATGGATCCATTTTTAAGGGATGAAACCTTTGGGCAGGTTCTGGAACTACCACTTCACTATGAGAGGCTGTCTGTCTCATTCTGTCCTCATTTTCATCAAAGAAGTCACACTTTGAGTTTAGCACATCTCTCTCTGTCGACTGCCACGAGTTTGAGTTATTGCAAGTTGCAACAAAAGAGTGCCGTGTTTCAGGCAAGTGTTCAGTATTCTTGAAACAACAACGGGAGCCATGCCGAGCTTCCCACACTCAGAGCCGGTTGGTATACACAGGGGCTTAAAGTGTGGACCGTTAAAATCAGACTGTGATGCAATTACAGAGTGATACCAGGTTCGAAACAAGGTGGGGAACTAGCAGCAGCTGTTGGCAGAGTGTTAGTAGATCCTGGCTGTCGGTGGTAGTTTGTCGACTTTATCAGGTCATCTCACATCATTCATACTTATTACAAATTCATGTGGAGCTCATAAAATAGTCAAAGTGGCTGGTGAAGTTTGAAATCCGTCAGACTCTACATGTAATGGATCAAAATGTTAGTTGCCGTGGTTACAGATTGAGTGTTTCTTTTTAGCAGGCAGCATGTGTGAAGTCGTACCAGTCTTGGCATCCACTGAGAAGTAAGGCTGGCCCTCCAGGATGCTGTAGACCACACGGGCACTGTTGCCATACGTGGGGTCATCGGCGTCTGTAGCGGTCAGCTGAATCACAGATGTTCCTGGGTACACGTGGAGGCAAAGGGGAGGAGGAGATGAAGAGGTGGAAGATAGATGCCTGGTCAACTACTCTACTAACAACATATAAATAAAAAGAAATAATTTTGGGTGAAGTTTTTCCGACTGTGGCTGGAGCAGATCCAGGAATCAACTATGATTATTTACTTCAAAGTATCCACAAAAAGTAGGTCTCTGAATAGTGAATGAAGCAGATAGAGATGAACCTGTAAGAACAAACAACGACTCCGCAGGACGGTTTTATACTTTGTTATTGTTCACCACAGCTGCAGCTGCCCCCTAAAGGGTAATTCAAAATTCTTAATGTGGGTTTTGTATGGTACTTATCCATAGAGCCTGCTTCCCCAGATCCTGCTTCCCCAGTTTGGAGAAGCAGGCAGAAGTATGGCCACAAAATCTAAGCAATCTACTGCTGTTGACAGGCGCAGCAGCAGAATTGAATTAGCCACCTAAAAAAACCTATATCAGTTAAAGATTACACTATATTTAGAATTTTTCACTGCTTTTCCCCGCTGTCAAACAGCAATTTCCGCCAGGGAACTGAATCCATAATATTGATCTCTTTGAGGCCAGGCTCCATTGACAAAAACTAAACTAACCCTAAAAAACACTTAAGTCCCAAACTAACCAATTGAGGCAGTAATAGACCAGCAGCTCCCGTGTTCTGCAAGGTAAAATTCCTGTTTTTGTCAAAGGAGTTTGGTAGCTTTGAAGACGGCGATATAACAGCTTCAGTTTCCCACTGGAAAGCGCTGTTAATGATGAATATAGCATACACTTAGACTGATATTAAATTTTTAGGTACCGACCACCATCTACTGTATGTAATACACTGACTAAAAATTACCTCATATAACCCCACTTAAAAAAGCTTTAACTATCCCTCCCTAACACCTCAGACAACAGTTTAGGTTCTGCTTTCATCCATGTTTGCCTTCATTTCCCCTGCTTACCTATTTTGGACATTTCAGGTACAGTCGCCTGATAGGGCCCATCCAGAAACCTCGGCTCGTTGTCATTGATGTCCTGGATCTTTACGATGAACTCAGACTCGGGCTCCAGAGGCCTGTCCGTCAGGCGGTTGCGGGCCTGGGCGCGGAGGGCGTACTGGGCCTTCACCTCGCGGTCCAGCCTCTGAATGGCATGGATGTCGCCTGTGCTGTCATCGATGGTGAATGTGGTGCCTGCGCCCTCGCCTGTCAGGATGTACTTAATGGAGCCATCACCTTTATCCATGTCTGAGTGGAGCTGTGGAGATATTCATGCAGATGGCAGTAAAAAATGTTTATTCCACAATGCATTTTCTCAAGTGGAATATACACTCTCTTGATTTTAGAGACATCTCAAGGGTTGTAGAAACTGCTGGTGCCTCAGTAAAAAATTTAAGGAGATGAGTCTCAAAAATCATGATTACATTAGCAACAGGGTTATGACAGAAATATTGTGCAGTCCAAAACTACGGTCAGACAGTGACATGCTTTTGAGGAGATTTAATTAGCTCACATCTCTTAATTTTAGAACAATGAACAGTGATCCTAAACATATAGACAGGACAACCATAGCATGTTTTGGGGCCAAAAAAATAAAAAGTTCTTGAATATCCAAATCAATCACATGACCTCAGTCCAACTTAAAATGTATTAGTGACGTCAGTTTCAAGTGTTGCCAAGTCTGCGCTGAATGTACAGTCTTGGAAACCCTATAATGATATTTCAACAAACAAAAATTCAAAGCTATCTTTGGTTGCAACGTCTTTAGTGTGATAATGCTACTTTTCTCTGTTTAGTACCATTATAAATTAAAACCCTGTGTTTTGGACAGTAGGACAGACAAAATAAGAATTGATATAAATCACAAATTAATCAATAATGGCAATAGTTGTTTATGCCACCTTATGTTTAACTGTCTAATTACTGTCTAAAATTCGGGGACGATGCATAAACCCCTACTTACTCTTCATCCAGTGTAGATATAAAAACCCTCAAATTAAAGCAGTGTGTCTGCACTTAAACCTCACAGCAATTAAATTCACTGTGCTGGAGTACAGAGCCAACACAACAACAAAAAATGTGTACAGTCCTACTACTTTATATTTAGAGAGCAATTTCTATTCATTCAGCTTTCTCAGTGGCACACTGAGAGGAAACCAGGCAAAAGTTTAAAAGGTAAAGGTAAAGAAGCCCCTAATGGCCACTCGTACTGGCACATTTTGCAATGGTAACCATAAACCCCCTTAAAACTTCCAAAAAGGCAGTATGGAGTGCAAAGGTGCCCCCCCTTCTCAACGTTAGATATGCATATGGACATGGATGGAACCTTCTGTCTGCTCTGTGTTTGTGTCGTCCATATTTGTGAACATTTTTTGAAAGCTTACGGGTATGAACGAAATGGAGCAGTACCACCACAAACTGTGGGGGCAGAGTAACCAATAGTTCTAGCAAGATACGAACACGGGCTACAACAAAGACAATTTAAAATAGCAAAACTTTTTGAGCGGTTATGTGACTTTGTCCTAAATTTAAACATCAGTACAATGTTACTTTGCTGGGGCACAGGGACAAACAGTCACTACAGAACAGCTGGGAGGAGACTGGATGAAATTGGATGGCAGCAGAGAAAAAGTGGAGGTCCATTTGAGACAGCAGCTTTCTAGAGGATGTATAGATAGATAACTTTATTGTCTACCTCAGTCGAGATTTGTCTTTGGCTTCTCTCAAACATATCAAAGGTATGTACAGACACATAAAAAAATATGACACAATAGTGCAAATATGCAGATAGGAGCAATAAGTTGTATAAATAGTAAATGAGAGCACATCTTATGAAATAGTAGTCTTCCCTCGTACAATCATTCTGTGTTCATTGCTGATATGGCATAGGGAATAAAGGACTTCTTATATATGTTTCGACTGGTTCTTGAGACCCTATATTGACGCCCAGAAGGGAGCAGCTCAAACTCTGAGTGTAATGGATGTGAGGCATCGTCAATTATATGCTTAGCCTTCCTGTATACAGTACTGTCAGTTATAATGCCGAGTTGTTTCTGTGACTTGCCAATCACTTTCCCTGCAATGTTTACAATCCTAGAGAACTTGTTTTTGTTCTTTGCACTAGAATTGCCGTACCATGCTGTAATGGGAAATGATAAAATGCTTTCAGTAGGACCTCTGTACACCGAAGCTCTTCAGCTTCCTGATTAAAAACAGATGCTGATTGGCTCTCTTAGAAATGTTCTCTGAGTTTTCATTAAAAGTTAGGGTCTAATCAATAATCGTGCCCAAGTACATAAATTGTTCTACATTTATGACTGGTTCCATTTGGTTTTGTTTGTTGGCATGTAGGCTATTCATGCCAATATAAATGCCATGGAAGAATGTGGCAATTACGCTTACAACATTTGAAATGGACGTATCTATTTTTGTATAAATTATACAGATATTTTTGAAAACATATTTTCCTCTACGTTTTGGCCTCTTGTCCAAATGCAAACTGAGCTTTAGGTCACTAAAACGGATATTTTTGAAAATGCCCTCTAAGGGGCAGATTTTTTAAAACCGCTGCATTATATCTGTGTGGATGTGTAACATGGAGCATTTGGGAAACAATGACGTCCCCCCCCTAAATGCCCATTGTTGCTTTGTGTAATGAGCCTGCACCAGAAACAATAACAGAGGCAGATTGTTGGTTTGTTTTGTTAGCATTGATTGGATGAATGACTGCTTTACACTCAGACCTATTGCTGCACCACTGCATGAACAAACACAGATGTCTGCTGCATCCAGTGTTTTTTGGTCGACCTTAGCATCTGCAGTTTAAAGTCTGCCAGAAATGATGGTTTTAGCCTTGGTCAGACCAGAAGATGGTGAGACTGTCTTGAGAACGGAACTGTTGTGGATGAGGAGTGAAAAAACATTCCGATGCACAGAGCATTAATCACATCCTTGAGTGAGCTCCTTCTGCCTTCTATTGAATGGGAATCAATGGTGATGAGATCTTCAGTAATGTTAGGTGTTTTGAAAAACGTAACATGAGCCTGCAGCTATACTTCACTACCTTTGCAACCACGGGAGACTGTAGAAGCCAGCTAACATGGGCAAGCATTTGGGGTTATCTTTGCGCTCTACTTTTGACAAGAGATGTTTCCCAAAGCAAAGGTTGTGTGGACAAAATTATTTTCAGTCAAAGTGGGAAAATATCATTTTTCAAAAATATCTGTATCCGTAGACAGGGCCTAAATGAGCCTTAAGTGGGGCCACTTCAAGCCACTGTGTGACAGATGAATAGTCTTATTTAGGACAGTCAGGGCCGATGGGCTTCTTTGCCTGGGGGCCCTTAGAGTCTAGGATCGCCACTGAACATGCTACAGCCCAAATTTGCTATTACAAGTTAGAATCCAATGTTTACATTGTCAGTGCCAGCCCATAGTATAGGCAGTACAGGCAAATGTTAATGGTGCCATCATCCATAGGGGGTGCCTCAAATGGGGGAAGTAAAAAAAATCTAAATGTTTTTCTTTTATTGTTTTAAACTAATACTACTACTATTCATTTGGAATAACCACCACTGGGTCTTTGTTTTAAATTGCACAAAAACCCGTATAAGACAGTTCTGTCAAAACATTAATTTCTAATTAAACCAGTGGGTAAATTAACGCCAGACCTCCAGGGGTGGTGTGTGGTTAAATGCGTACTTTAATACTGCAGCTGTAAGTAGACATGTAATCACAGCTTACGGCCTGTTTGTTGCCATGGGCCCTGCAGTGCAATCAGTTGCCTTTTGTGGCCTGTGAGTGCAAATGCCAGCCTGTTGATGTGCAATCACTCCTTACTTTGTACTTAAAGGGTCTCTGCATATGATGAGTACTTACTGCCATCACACTGGCAGTGCAGAATTAAATGCCCCCATTGACGTCTGTCTGGTATATAATCAACAGGCGAGCTCACAACACTGCAGTGACAAAAAACCCCACTGACTCAAAAACCACACTCTTTTTCAAGATACTTGCTTTTGCCTTTTCGTCGTCAGGGGCCACTACGTGAAATGACCGAGCTGAGGTTGTTGAACTGCTAAAAGTTTGCAGCTACAGAACTCGTTGTTGTTATTCCAGTGATAGTTCAGAAGCAATCTTCACAAAACCTATCATTCCCCGAGCAGCCAGACAATACAGCTTTTCCTATCTCTTCGGACAACGTGAACCACCTGCACTCTCTCCTGGAAAGTGCCACGCATCCGAGCTCAGCCTAGAATATATTTTTTAATCAACACCTCACTGTGGGCTTCAGCCCTGTGCCTCGTGGTGATATATCTCAGGCCGGTGCCTTCCCCTCCTGCCTCATCCGCCTTCTCCTCCACTGATCCTTCCTCTCCACTCATACCTATGAAAAGAGTTTGACACTCAGGCTATCAATTACCTGCTCCGTCTCAGCCCAAACCTTCGACATCCCCACAGCTCTGAATACTAAGCTCCTCAACAGTCACAAGGTAGGGCGAGCTGAGGAGAAAAAAACCTACAGTACATGTGTCTCCTGCTTTGTCATATCCTACAGTGCCTTTCTGCCATGAGTGGCTCTCTGGGAAACAGCCCGGCATGTCAAAGTTACTTATTTCATTCAGCTTGGAAAAATGAGGGTGTGCGGCTTTAAAAAGAATCATTGAAGAAACGATAAATGGAAAGATGGAAGTGAATATGCTATAGCGACTGTAAGCAGATACAGTACTTTATACCACAGCATACATGGTTCCCTCTCAGGACTTGTTACTCTCGTATCTGGTCGAAGCACATGACTTTTTGGATCCTGGCTTTTTCCTCGGTATTCCCGAGTGGTGGAGGGGAAGTTATTCCAGAGCACTAATTAGGCAGGTTTGCATCATTTCCAATGGGAAATATCAGAGGACGTGCAGTTCAGTGTTTTAAAAGTCGACGAGGAATACTGAGGCAAATTCAAAGGTCAGGAGTCTGTGTTTTAAAATCAAGGCAGTGTAGTTTCAGGAATTTGGGAACAGAGAGTATTTTAATGCCTTTACATTTGGGCATTGAGAGAGATGCACAGAAGAAAAACAGAAAGACAATATGTTTTTGCATCAATTTTTCATGACTGAACTTAACTAAAAGATCTGATCTAATTTTTCTTTGCACACAAAAGCCTTTGTTCTTTCTTTTTGCCCAAATTTGTTTAAATCCATGTTAGTGAGCACTTTACCAACATAATATTTAATCCATCCACCTATAGGTGTCACATATCAGGATGCTAATTTAACTGCCTGATTGTTACACAGGTGTGACATGGGCTGGTCACAATAAAACCTACTCTAAAATGTGCAGTTTGATCACACAACACAATGCCAAAAATGCTGCAAGTTATGGGGGAGTATGCCATTGGCACGCATACTGCAGCAATGTTCACCAGAGCTGTTACCCGTGAATTCATTTGACCACAAAAAGCCATCTCCAGTTAGCCTGGAAATCCAGACTCAAATCTAGAAAGATTTTGAGTCTGGCCCTCACCGATACACCCTTCCTACCCAAGGGGCGGCACTAACTGAGGCATATTACATGCCGCTGCACACAATTGGATAGCACGATAGCCAATCAGAGCAAAAAACAAGGTGACGTATTCATTGCAGTAAGCCCCATTTGTTTGCCGACTAGTGGGGATAACTGATATATTATGCTTTTGCTGTATCCCGTAGGCAAAACAGCAAAAACTTCCTTCCTGGAAGCGAAGGCTTCTAGGGCAGTCTCCTGTTCATCTCTCAAGGAAAAAGATAAGTGTTTTGCCCTCAATTTGAGTTAATGCTTTAATTTCATGTTAGAAGTAACATACTAGCTGTATAAAACACGTCATGGGAACAGAACAATAAGTGTAGTTGGCTCAGCATGTCTTCAAAAGCTAAATTGAATGGACGCGGTCCCTCGGCAGCTGCCATCTTGGCTGTTTACTTTTCGACTCCTACGGTGCAGCGCTGTCTTCATCATGTTACGCCCGCCCAGAGCCTGCCTCTGTCAGATAGACTGATCTGATTCACCGGGCTCTGCTCGTCCGGGCCAGATCCCCGTGCAGTGCAAATTTGAATTTGCTGGGGGCGGGGCATCTGGATTTCCAGGTTAATGTCCAGTGGCTTTCTTGAAAATGAAAATGGGAGCAAAAACAAAATTCCTGCATTTATATTTTTGTTCAGTGTAGAGTTAAGTTCTGACAGAACGCTCTGCAGAAATCAGGCTTTATTCACTTCAGTGCCATTTCCAATTTGTTATCAGCACAGATATTATCTGAGTTCATAATTTACATGCAGTATAATACAGTGTTTGCACCACGATTGTGTAGGCGGGTGTCAAATGGACTCATTAGTACCGTTCTAGAAGGTCATTGCTCATTCAAGGTGGATAATGAGCAATACTGTAAAGACTGGATACCTACTGGGTGCTACAAAATATTCAGAAATGGATGAGAATTGATGTTTGACATATTATATCAGACACCTAATGTGATATTCAATTACATTACAGAACATATCACATAAATAATAGGGTTATTAATACAGCACAGCTCTTTGTTTCATCAATGTTGAAATGTGCCTCTGACAATATTTTATTTATCTTTATTTTACTGGAAAACTTCCAAGTAACTAGACCAATTTACTGTAACTCACATTTAGTGTCAACAGCTATCGTACTGGGATACTTTAATTATTCTGAAGTGGCATTCATTCAATGATTACTGTGTTTTCCACTTATAGTAACAATGACAAACTGCTCATCTAGATCATCTAAAAAGGACTCTAACGATGAATTATCTGCCAGCGTGAAATGTCAGTTGGTGACTTAATGACATGCAGGTAGCTAACGTTTCTCCACAGTACAGTACAAATATGTTTTGTCTTTTTGTCAAACAGCCAAAACAATACAGAGTGGCATCTGTCTGTAACAAAAGCACCTTTAGCTGAGCGTGCAAAATTCTGTAATGCATCTTTACCTGATGAGTTTCATTTGTAGTTGTAGGCCTAGTTATAACCTGTTCAGAACCCAATTATGTTCCAAACACACACAAATAATACTGTAATGGTGTATTTCTACTCTAAATGAACTCATAAATCATTAGCAAAATATTTTTTTTGATGAGGATCCTTTGTGTTAATTTTTCCGTCCATTCCAATGGACGAAGAATCTGTATGCAGAAACCACATAACATTACAAATGACAAACAAAAAAACATGAGATTATTTCTTTTTCATCAATGGTTAATTCATATAAGTGATGCTTTAAAACACATGGCCTACAGAGACTGCTGGTATAAATGGGCTAGCAGGGCTAAGCCCTGCCTATCTTTTACAATAAAGATGAGAAAATTATTAAATTAAAGAAAATATTAGTTATTGAACCTTAGAACTGATTGTTTTTGGTGGAACCTATAGCAGCAGCAGCAGCAGCAGCACTAAAATAGTCACAAAAACGCAGGATTTATCTAAATGGGCTGATTTTGTTTACAGCCCATACTCCTAGAATCAGCTTCCAATCATTGTTGTCACATCGTGAGTGACAGGTGTGGTGACCAGCCTTTACTGTCCAGTTGGGCTAAATTAATTCAGCCCAGGCCACTGACTTTTGGCCAATGACAGTGCATGGAAGTACAGTGTTACTGTTACTGTTACTGTAGTGGGAGAGTAAGCATTGAGTCTTGCGAAATGCGTTAGCATCATGCTGAACGAGGTGGATTATTTTAAATGCCGTCTATTGAGCGGGACCTCATCCAAAAATTAACTTAAATGACTTGGTGATTAACCTGTTTGCATCCCAGAAAGGCCGTTGATGTGAGCGTCTCTTCAAATAAGGTAGGCCCAAGTAGGGCTGGGCAGTATTCGCGGTGACGGTAACTTACCGCAGTAAACATGAACGGCAGAACGGGGCCCGGCGGCCGGCCTGCCTCACACACCTCCCTCGCTGCGTGATGGAGGTGGCCTGGCTGACTGCCCCAAACCCAGGCCCGTGGGAGAAGGGGGCCCGGGAGCCGCTGGCCCTCCCTCTTCCCTCTATTGTTTATACATACTATATAATGTTTTATACACAATAATAGCAACCGTTTTACTTCTGATGATAAGTATTTCCATCCTAGACTTGTATGGCTTTTTAAATTGATTTATTTAAGGTGTAAAAAAAAGAGAGAAGACGATACCCAGATATCATACCCTCACCGTATCCCCCCAAAATAATACCATGATATTGATTTTAGGCCATACCAGAGATATTGGATAAAGGAGATACCCCACTGTAGGCTTATCCAATGTTAAGAAAACTGTTACTCTTCCTGTCTCCTAAGTGGGCGTGGTTAGCTCTCCCTCCAATCAGAGCCTGTTCTCCCTCAAAGATCACGAGATCTCGCAAGAACTTGTTTTCTGAGACGGACAGGGCTCAAACAAAGTTAACTTTCTCTTGATCTGTGCGGATGAAAAATGCAGCTTTAGTGTCAGAATGTTGGTAAGATGTGTGGCTTGTGGAAAATGAACCCAATATTTACTTTAGTGACTATAGGGCGAAAGAATTGACCATAAATTGTGATCACGTTCATTTTCCTCATTGATGACAATATATTCAGAGCTGCTGCAAGTCTCCTACGGGGGCATGGCGCTGACGTCACTGAATCAGGAAGTGAGCTGAGTGGGGTATCTTGCTTTATCCAATAAAAAACCGCCCAGCGCTAGGCCCAAGCCCTAACCTCTTATTAAAGGAGCATTACTCCTCTCCTTTCTTTACCGTGTGTGTGTGTGTGTGTGTGTGTGTGTGTGTGTGTGTGTGTGAGCGAGCCAGCAAGCCAGCTTTTGGCATCAGAACATTTTTGTAGTTAGCCTAATTCTCTAGTTTTGTTGTAGTGCATTGTTGCTGTAACCTGGTACTGTATCTCGGTGTGATGTTACTGTTACTGCAGCTGAACTATTGATCAGTATAGGCCATAGGCCTAATGCGTTAGCCCTCCCACCCAATTTTACCACGAGCCGCTACTGATGGCCTACATATCTTGAGATCCACCATCAGATCCACCATCCATTTCAATAGACGGATTAAGTTTTAAATCTTTCATATGATATTTTGACATATAAGTAATGTAACATGTCATGTTTACTTTGAGCACAGTTTAAACAAAATTTATATATGTTAACAGTAAATGGATTAGCATATGCCTTGTGCTTACTCCTTGCCTCACAGTTGGCTATGCTCATTAAAAAGGGGGCAGTCCACTTAAGATAATGTAGAATACTGTGATTGGCTTATAGGCATCCCGTCAAATAAGTTTGTGCATTTGGGTGGAGTCAGACGACAGTGATCATACTTTTAGACATCCTAGAAAAGTTATGCTACAGCTGATAAATAGGAGAATCCTGCTAATTGCACCCATCTATCCCTGGGATTTCACGACACTGGTTTTCAGAGGGGCTAAAGTAATGGGATATTTTCAAAGCATTTTCACATTGGCGCTCTCTGGCTCAAACGCTGTGCACATACGATTTAAAAACAAGATTGTTGTGTCTCCCTGCTGATGATGACTGGCCTTACAACTATTGATCAAATGTTCAATTCACTTTAGCGACTGAGCGATCAAAGTGCTCCTTTGTGAGTATTCATCCCTTGTCTACTCTTTTCAGAGCATGTCAGTTGTGTTGCAGACGTGCTCCATCCGCTTCTGTGGAATGAGGCCGACTGAGTGAAGCCGCGGTTCGAGTCAATTAACTCAATCACTGCTGTCTGGCTCTGGTTCAAAGTGGACAGAGGAGAGCCTGTCTGTAGTATGGGCGCAGTGCATCCAGGGATTAAATTGGGATTTTTTTTCTTTCGTTGTGGTTGAAGTTTGCTGCGCTGCCCATCCATGATCTTCTCTTTTGCATTCGTACGCTCGGCTCTGGCTCAAGCAGCAGATGACCTGCAGGCTGCTGAGCTCCCCTATAGATCTATTAGTTTGCCCTGTTTGAAAGTTACTAGTTGAAATCTCTTTGAAACACCAACACTAAGGCACCCCCATGTACACAAAGTGGAGAGGACATGCAGAAACGCTGCTCCCCTACCAGGCCAGGAACATCCAGGCTTTGCATCTCTACAGGTTATACCTTTTATGTGTGTGCACGTAAGTGTGCAGGATGTATGCAACACTGACCTTCCCGATATAAAGTGGCTCCAGTCCGGTGTACTCCTCCAGGACAAAGAACTGGTTCCACACCCAGCCTCTCTTTACCCTCTGGAGCAATGCTGAGCTGCCTGTGTTTTCTTCCTCTGTGGGCTTACCCAGAAGGCTGTGGGGCAGAAGGGTCAAAATGCAGAGAGCCACAGGGAGCACGCTGCTGGCAACTGCTGGAAGATGCAATCGGTCTCCCATTGTGAAGAGCAGGGTAGTATTTGAAAAAACTTTTCCAATTTCTGCAGTTGTTCCCTGGCTCTCTCTGGCTACTGTTGGCGTCCTGGAACAGAAAAGAAGACAGATTAGCCTCAGATTTATTTCCTTTTGGACGCCGTCATCCTTTTGTCGTACACTGAGCTGCACTGTGGGACGCCTGCGGATGACACATATTCGCAGCTTTTTCTCCTGCTTTCCAGATTAGCCCTCTACTACTGAGTTTTTGTTGAGCTATAATGAGCCTTACCACAGTTGAATGAAGGGGACCTCTTATGCTGCTGAAGAGGCCACATGGAGGAGGCGAGGAGGTAATATCAGAGAAGGAGAAGGCGGGGACAATGGGTATACAACAAAACGTTCATGTCATGCTGCCGCTCACTATTACAGACCCCCTCACCATCAGAAAGTTATAAATATAAAGAACAGAAGAGTGGATGTCAAGGGTGTTCGGCAGGTTACGTGGTGTAATTATTTGTTGGTGAACAACAGCCGGGGGTGTTGTCGCCACCACTGGGTAGCCAGGCAACCACATGACAGCATAAACAAACAGGCAACCTGGTTTCAGAGAAATGACCATGACCTCTTCACACCGCATTATGTGATGGTAACACATAATGTGTTCAACTTAAGTGTCAGCACCAGGATAACAATGTAGATGAGAAATCAATAAGAATCCTTTATCATGGTGGACACAGGAGCGAGCAGGGGTTAAAGCTAATCGTCATGCCATCAGCACGTTATGTGGCATTTAGAGGTTGTGGTCATTTCAAGTATTTCTGTGACTTCAGGTAGCAATTGGGTTCACAATTGAGCTTTAGGCTGCGTCCACAACAAATCATGTGTTGCAGTGATTAGTTGCAAGGTTGTGTGGCGGTTCGGTAGTATCACTTAAATGGTCCATCTGTGGGGGAGTCGAGGGTGGACACCAAATACAGAGAGCAAATCTCCCCATCTCAGTGAGTATTTGTCACCGCTATAAGTTTGTTCACTTTGACTTAAGAGATCTGTAGAATTCCTCTTGATTGTCATTACTGTATCTTTACTGCCACAAAAGACATGAGTGCATGCACATACAAGCAAATCAAGTGCTCTCCTTTGTCGGATAGTACACACAAGCTATAGACAGATTGGCCACTGCAGCATGACAGCAGGTTGTGTTTCTGCAAAAGTTTATTTTGTTTCAACTTTCTGCCACAGGCTGCTGCGTTTTTATTTTTGTTTTGGGGGGATGGGGGGCCTACGGACGCAGCCTAGAAGCACTACCCTCATTTAAATAAATGGGCAGACTAGCACCTGATTTGGTGTGAATACAGCCTTAAGGCCCTGACAAAGCAAGCTGATGGTTGGCTGTCAGTCAATGCTGAGCTTTTTTTTCAGCCAATTCAGCATATTGAATTGGCGGCAATGGCAGATCGGTGAATAACTTTACATTACAAACACTGCTACATGTAGCTACATGCTAATGTCAGGGACGCATAATCTTGGTTGATTGTTTAATTCTCTTGGTTAACTTGTCCATGATCTTTGAATCATATTCTTGCTGGAACATGTCCAGTTGTGAGGATTTTGGTTTAGGAGCTTTTATTGGTGATTTTTAACAGAAGAACGTGCTGCTGTGCTTCATTATAATCATTGTCTGGCTGCAAGTGCCCTGCTACATGTAGCTACATGATAATGTGGGGGAAACATGTAAACTTAGTTGCTGACGTTTTTAATTTGTCCCAGATTTTGGAACATATTGGTTGGAACATGTCCATTTTTGAAGATTTTATTTTAGAAGCTTTCTTTTCTAATGATTTTGTTACTGATAAAAAGTTCCGAAATGCTGACCAATCACAGCAGATTGGGCTTTTCTAGAGGAAGCTTTAAGAGACAGTCACTAAAAGGGAGCATCTCAGACAGAGGGTGAATATATGTGTTCCATCACAGACAGTATAAGGAAAACAAAGAGTTTTTTGACCATTAAAGCATGTAAACATGTTCTGCTAGAAACCCAACATATAAATATAAACCTAAAATGAGCATAAAAGGTCCTCTTTAAAACTTTGTAATGGAAACAGAACTAATTGGAGCCTGCAGGAGAAAACAGAAATGATTGCATGCTTCAAAACCACCAGCTTCAGTTGCTTTTTCCCTCCAGCTCGGGACAATCAGGCATTTCACATCAAAAAAAAAAAAAAAAAAAGTGAAACCACACTCTTCCCCTTCCTTCCTCCTCTTCCTGTCATGAGGAGAGGCGAGCTCCTTCACACCTCCTGGAAAAGGCCCAGGGGTGTGATGTTCTGAGATTGTAGTGTTTCTGTTAACACCCCTGCTCAGCTTTACTCACACCATGTTCTACAATATCCCCTCAGCACTGCACACCGCTCATTACAAGTGTACTGTGTTTTTTTTTTCCCTATATCTCAGGTTTTGGAAGGCCCCTATGGTATTGCCTGGATGTTGGATTTTATGCCTCTAAATACTGTCTCCCGCTGCATTGCTCTTTTTGATACGAACATCACAGGAATCTTTAAGATCAGCTAGGTCAATTCCGTGAATTTCTGGCAGGAGATGTTTTTTAAGGTTACACATCGATCTGAGCTAATCAATACCTTTTCGCACCTACGCTGCCTCTTTCCATCTGCATCTTGTTTTTATGTATTAGGAGGACGGCCGCATCTGCCCGCTCTGCCTGCATTAACGAGCTTGGGGGGGAAAATAGGCGGATTGATGGTGAAAAGGCAGAAAGAGGACAGGGGGAGAAAGGGAAAGAAAAGCTAAGAGGCTGTTAGCAGGGGGAGGTGGAAAGTTTGGGGCTGAAAATAAAAAACAGCGGAAGAAAAAGAGACTGTTTGACTCATGGGCTGACTCCATTATGTTTTGTAAGAGAGAGTCCATTGTGCTGCTGCAGACTCTCTCTGAATCGCCAAACTCAGTTAATCATTGTTGAAGAGGCACAAAAGGCAAGGAAGGGTGGGGGGCGTGGCTGCATTGTCAGCAGGAGGCTGGGCCGAGTGTGTGCGTGCATGCATATGTGTGAGTGTGTTTCTCTGCCTCTTCTGCTGCTTGGCAGGACGGGTGACACTTGACCTCATTGCACCCCTCTTTTCTGACTATTCAAGCTGCCTGGTTGCCATTATGAAGTAAAATTAGCTCCCTGTTCTTTGCTCAAAACCCCCCGGCCTCAACCTCTCGGCTCCTCCCCTCAAAGGTCACAGCTTGCACCCGAGCATTTTGCTCCATTTTGTCGTCCCTAATGAGGTGACATGCGACGTGATTGTGCTGGCAAAACATTTCACACATCTCTCTTATGGCATTTCGCTTGTTTAATAGAAAAAAGGCAGCTGGCGTTTGCCACCCAAGCTGTGAATTGGAGGGATGGGAAGATGAAGGGATGAGGAGCGAGGTGGAGGGTGGAGAAGCAATCATATGACAAAGCTTAAGGCAAAGACTTGAGGTATTTTCCCACCAGGCTGAAACATTCTTCCCACTTGAAAACCTGCCTAGCATTCAAAAGAAAACAACACAATTTGTTTGTTAGTGTGCAACAGTAAAAGAGCAAATTAACGGCAAAAGTGGAAAAGCAACATCCGGTTTTTATGTTTGTTTTGAAAAGCAAGAAACCCCTGAAAGCAAAGGTGTTCGCTGAGAGGGAGGAAGAGATTGAGTGACAGTGGAGGAGACGGTGATTGTCAGGGGGAGCAGCTGGTGTGACAAAATGATGGGCCATATTGTTGTATCATCTTACTCCAAGTCCACCTGCTGCTCCATTAACTGCGATCTGACAAAGACAGACTACATCAAACTGCTCCTACAGCAGTGAGAGAGGTGAGCGTTTCCTTCCAACGGAGGAAAACAAACCCAGAAAGAACTCTTACAGTACGACTGACTGACCACCTCCAGGCAGAGGCAGCATGCATAATCTCACTAACTCCACCTGTTCAGATTAATGAGTCAATAATGCCCAAAATAACTAATAACTTTAGGAAACACTCATGATTTCTGTAAAAACTTAAAATCTAAAAGTTGGTATTTGATACTTTATGATCCAAATCATGTAATAATATCACCAGTTTTAGACTTCTGATTTTGGTTACATGTGTTCACAGAAAATCAATCACTGATGCATTTGAAACACTTGGCTTATTTTGCTAATTTAAAGGAATGCTCCTCTCCCCCAATGATTATTTATATATCAGTTACTCACCTTGTTTTACATTGAATCCAAAAGGAAAATCCACATGCCTCCACAGTGAACCAAGAATCCAAAAATGGAGAAAATTCTTGATGAATTGAAGTCATAGGGGTCCACGTTTAACAACAGCAAAACTATACCAAAACATCCTTCTCATAACTCGTGTAGTATAACCAAAGTCTCGGTATCCAGTACTTCCCAAACAGACAACCCCTTGAGACTTAGTCTGCATGGGTTGTGTGAGAGTTTGTCAACAGATGTTTTAAAGTTTTGCTGTTGTTAAAGCAACCCACTATGACTTCAATTCATTAAGGATTTTCTCTGTTTTTTGATTCTTTGTTGGCTGTAGGCATATGTGGAAAAACAAAGTTCACTGAAGAAATTCAGTGCAACACATAGTGACTCATTCATATACAAAAAATCATTTGGGGGGTGAAGTATTCCTTTAAACAAGTGTTATATAGGGAAGAAGTGGTAAGGCAACCGCAGCTATCATATTTATGAAACAAAATAAAAGACCGCAAAAATGCAGACTATTACCTATGGCTAAAAAAATTGGTCAATTAATAATAAATAATAAAAGGCAACTTTTTTTTAAAACCGATTATTCATTGAAGTCATTTTCAAGCAACAATGCCACATTACCTAACTTCTCAAATGTTAGGGTTTGCTTCTTTTCTCAGGTTTATGTGAGAGTATACTTTATATGTTTGGGTTTGGACAGTAAGTCAGACAAAAAAAAAACATGTCAATGACATTTTAAGGACCAAATGATTACTTGATTAAATAATCGTTCCAGTGCTAATGTTATCACAAACCTCACCCAGACCTTTCGGTCCGAGTCACTGAGTGAGGTTACCAGGGGCCAACTCAGTGTGTGGTACATT